TTGAATTTTTGGTCCTGGATCATTTGTTGATGGACATAAAGAGTGCAATGTGGCAGATCCTGAATGCTTGGTAAGTAGCAGGTTTGCCATAAAGAGGGTTTGTTGCATGTTGCAATCATATGTTGTTGTGGTAATTAAGACGAGGCATGGACAGATTGGAGCCAGGAATATGATAATATATGTTGCTACATTCTCATCCACTTACTAAGAGACAGTGAACTGCCTTTCAACATCACTGTCTCCTCCATATTCCAGTACTGTAATCAATGCATCTAAGCAAATTAAATCAAACAACTAAAATTATGTAATATCCCTTGTCCATATTTTAAACAGGTTAGAGATAAGGTTCTTGAAACCCTACATAATAACCGTGCTACATAAATTTTCCACTGGAGTTCAATTTCGGTCTAGCTCTTACAAAATGGCAGGAATTAAGTGCTTTCCAGCGATTCCTGTATCCATTTGTCAAGTACTTATATTTTCCAAACTCTATTTTGGCGGTTCCAGTTATATTTCTACAGGATTCAGCCGTCGCCTCATCCCAATAGACTCCCCGGAATCCCCTTTATATTCCAGTAATCTCACTTGACATGAACGAATCAAAAGAATAATTCTTATCTCCCATGTTAAAGCCGAAGTAATGAGCTTCCGTTCGAACTCGAGCTCGAGCCGGCTCGACTCGGTCTCAATTATTGTAGCTGAGTTCAAAAAGACTGGATAAGGAAATCCAATGAGTTACTAGGAACAAGCCACGTGGAAAGGTGATTTGAGGTGATAAGGTTAGGAGGGAAATTCACATATGGAACACCTTATTAACGGTCCAAAGCTTTAAAGGATAAAACAAAAACCAAGTTGGCCTATGAGAACAAAGGGAAATCTAAGAAGATAAGTGGAGGGAAATTCAAAAACAAATTCAACCAAGTAGCAAGACCCGAAGAACAACTCCACCAGCCTGAAAGAACGCCAGCAGCCACTATTCCGGTGACCAAAGTTTCATACTTCTAGAGAGAAACACCCAAACAAAGGAAGAAGATTCAATCAAACTTGAAAATGTGTCAAGGAGACGCACGGACACAAAGAAAACCCAAGCCAAAGGATAAAAAGGGAGGGAAAACGAATTTGAAAGAAGATAATCAAAGTTTGAGAAATTAGATAAAGAAAACGATGATAATGAGAAAAGGTAATAAAAGAGGATGATGTGAAAATGTGATGGTTACTTAACCAAAAAAGAAATATGGTACTCGAGCTGAACTCGGCTTGCGAGCCTAACAAATCGAGTCACCCCTTAATTGATCTCAGCTCGTTGCATATAGCGAGCCGTTCGTGAATGAACTCGGCTCACTATAAAACGAGTTGAGTTCGAGTATCAATCGAACCGAGTCTAAGCTGCTCGTGAGCAGCTCAACTTGGTTGACAATCCTAGTCATAGGGGTCATTATAGGAAAGCTCCCAAAACCTCGACACCAAAACTGCGTTGAGGCATATGCAAATTCACATTAGCAATCTCAAACTTCGACACTAGACCAGAAACTTGTCGGGCCAGGCTTCTTGGAGTTCAATTTCACCAACACATAAGCCATGTGTCGTTGTATGCTTTGATGCTGGCCCTCGCCAAGAAAAGTAGGTGGGAGATTCTACAACCAGTTGTGAACTATTAGTTATACATCAGGGGTTTATCGTATATTAAGAAAATCTTAGGGGTTGGTTGTGAGACAGTAACCCTATTTGTAAAATGTCATTGTTGATACAGAAATCTGCACCAACTAAAGTGATTCGAGCAACCTTGGTGGGATCGAAACCGGTGTGTTCGTAATTACGAATAATCAACAATGTACAAATAAAGAATGTAAAGAAGAAGATGACACATAGATTTTTAAAGTGGTCCGATTAAGCCTACGTCCACTGTGCTTTGTATTTGCTATGTGAGCTTACAATATAAGTTCTATGAAAATTTTCTAACCCCTTTTTCATCATTTGAGGGGGTTTATGTACAAAGTTTGTACAAAAGGAAAGAGCGAAATTAAAGGGATTACAATTAAATTGAAATGTAACTCTGATATTCTTGTGATTAGGCGCTGTGATTACGTAAGGATTGCTACCAATTTGATCATTCCCAAAATATTTGAGATCTGAAGTTATGTGGGAATTTGTTGAATGATCATTCGGATTGTTTGCGACTAGCTTGTGTTGGGTCAAGCCATATTTCGACGAGCTTATGTCCAGTCGGACAACCAGTAAAGTCGGACTAATTATGGGTCAAGCTACTACCTCGCAACTCCCCAAGCTTAATGGGAAAGTCACACACAATAGCCATGTTTCAAATTTTCAATAAAAAACACTGCCATGTACTTGTCCTATTTGTTTGCTCATTTCACAAGGCTCTCCATAAATCAATTCACTTCAGAATTCACAGGATTATATATAGTGTTAAACTTATATATATCTTTATCTTTTAATTTTCCCAATTGCATTTGCTTCATATCTTTGAAAGCTCACCCAACTAAAAGATTTGAGAAATTGATTGAAATCTCCGAATTAAGAGCTAACCATTTATCATCAATGTTGATTCCACCATTGGGTGGTCTGATGGTAAAAGAGTTTTATGAGCTCTTGAATTCGAGTCCCTCCAAGTCCTAATAAGAATGATCATTCGGGCTCTTACCTGACCGGTAGTTCTAAGGCCCCAAATTATTAATTGGGGTGTGCACAAGCTAGTCCGGATACTCTCCATAATTTAAAAAAAAAAAAAAAAAGTTTTGAATCCAAATGCTTCACTAGAACACAAAAATTAATATCATATTCAAGTTCTTGAAAATCACAACTCTTATAACAAAAAATGGTTTAAAATAACTAAAAAAGGGTATATATCAATGATCATAGTTACTTTGTTAAATCAAGTCGGTCGTTTAATCTTTCAGTAACCAGCCTCCAATTTCTTAACCATAAAACTTGTTGACGCTTGATTTTGGATATCAACGACTCGCACGTGTAAAGTACTAAAAGAGTCTTAGAAATTATACGTGATGGATCCATGAGATTTGAATATGGAGCTGAGATTATATATGTTGCAGAAAACATAAATAATAGGCTGACAAGAGAGGTTTTTACAGTGGTTCGGATACTTAAAACAAATCCTACATCCACTATTATTTTATTGATCTTTGGCTATTTCTATGATATTGCCCGTAAGACATACAAAGATGGAGAAATATTTTGTTTACAGAGAAAAATAATGAAGCTCAAATCTATGTCTAACTCTCATATGTCCAACCTCCCTTTTGGTGAAGAGAAGTGTCAATTTATACACCTTTGAGGTTAATGTAATGAGTGTTTTGTAAGTTACCTTGACACATAGAAGACTCTCATCCGTTCTTCTCTTAAAATGAAATAGAGTTGATATAAGATATCTTTGAGGCGATATGGGTTTGTCAGGAAATACAATTTATCTTTGAGGCACTTATTGAACTGACACCAACGTGACTTTTTAGACATAACAAAACTAAAGAATTTTCTGGTGTTAAAACATAAAGACAAAATGTGTATAAGCGTGACTTTTACTCATCCTGCTCGTACTTAGGCTTTACATGCATGGTGACAAAACTAATTAGCTAGGATTATATTTTTCATGTTTTTCAACTTAAGACTGGAAGTTCTTCGTTATGCTGTATCAAATTAAAGTGTGTTTTGAGACAAAGAACTGTTTTCATTATCATGAGACTGTTTTAATTAGCTAGGATTCTGTTTTTCATGTGTAGATAGCAGGTACGTGATTTGCAGTTAAGGCTAATTGGTTTTCTACTCATAGTCGGAAAAACTCATATACAATGTGTTGATACTATGATTTGGATTTACAACCAATGAGAAGTACGTAAAAGTTTGTATAAAACCCATAATTTCTATGTTGAACCGATGGATAAATGGTAAATCAAACAATGGCACAGAAAGAATTCTTAAAGTGGTTCGAACGCTCAATGCAAAGACTATATCTACTGTTCTTATATTGGTTTTTGTGTTTTCTCTGTGCACAAGAACGGCTTATAGAGTATGAATGAAATTCTATCACTAATTTGGGTAAAAAGTATACTTATACTCTCCCTATTTTTTAATAAATGACATTTTGAGGATTTAATTTTTTTTCAAATTAAGTGTCAGTTGTCTTGTCTATGACATCTCCTCTCCCCTCATCTCCTCTCTCTCTCTTTCAAATGCCATTTAACATAAATTTCCCATCATTGCTTTTTCTTCATTGTATTTCCCACCGCACTTTCAGGGAGGAGCGAATAAGAGATAAAGTAGGAGAGAAAAAAATTTACATTAAAAAATTAGTTTATTAAAAAGTGTATTATTGCTTAAAACGACTTTTATTTCGGAACAGATGGAGTATATTATTACACTACAGTGACAAACTTATAAATAAAGTTAACTTAAACAAATGACACGTGAATACATGCCTCAAGGATTTACTGCACAACATAATGTTTAATTTAATTAAGAAAAAGAGAGAATTGATGTAGCATAAAAGGAATATAAAAGGTTTATTCAGCAAATACTTAAATAAATTAAATAAAAAGATAAAATAATAGCATGAATTATTAAAAAAAAAAAAAATTACGATGTCACATCCCACCACTAAATATATAACAATATACCACATATAAGAGGCAATTAATACAAAACCTATTTAGTTATTTCGATGGTTTTAATTTACCAGAAACAACAATATTTTTGGCTAACATCATTTAGTTTTTATTAGTTTTCGATAAAAATATCAAATAATATAATTTAAAGTAAAAATTTTAAAACATCTTATAGCATCTTTAGACAGATTTGTTAACATGGGTTGTATCTTGTTAATAAAATCAGCTGTTAAATCACTTGAATGGCCATCAGTAAATGAAATGGAATCAGTTGAAAGCTATTTATGTTTCCTGGAACCATTATAAATTAATATCCACCCGCTCCCATTCTTCAACGGGACTCAATTCATTTTCTCTAATAAAATGGCAGGAATTGCTCAGAAATTCCCTGGGGCTGTATTTCTTTTTCTCGTAATTATATTTTCAAATTTGGTGGCTTCAGAATCGTTAGGATTCAGCCTCAGGGTTATCCCGGCGGACTCCCAAGAGTCCCCTATTTATCGTCACAATCTGACACACTTGGAAAGAATGGAAAAACTCTCTGATATCTCCATGGCTAGACACCAAGTATTGACCTTGCGTTCTTCTCATAAGAAATCATCATCCTGGGATGATGGAAAATTCGTAGAGCCTCTAGAACGTCAGGCTTACTACTATGTTGCCGAGATGAAAATAGGAACGCCATTCCAGAGAGTCTATCTGGTCGTCGACACTTCTGCCGGACTAGTTTGGACACAATGTGAGCCTTGCGATCAAGGTTCGGGGTGCTATCCTCAACAAACGCCCTATTTTGAACCAAATAGCTCCACCAGTTACTCCAGGCTTCACTGTAACGACCCCCTTTGTCCCCTGCGAAAGGGTCAAGACCCCAAGTTCTTCCATTGCGTTAGTGGCAATTGCTCATACACATATTACTACGGTTTCGAGGGCCCATCAATGGGCATCCTCTCCACGGATTCATGCAATTTTATCAATGACACTGCGGGTTACAACAGAATTGATCTTGCAATCGTCTTCGGCTGCTCTACTTACGTCAGGAATTTGGACCATATATTTCTTGAAGAGGGAAATAAACTTTCCGGGATCCTGGGATTAAACTTATCTCCACTCTCATTATACAAGCAATTGTATGACAAAATCCAGGGCAAATTCTCTTACTGTGTTGTCCCTTTTGAAGAAAATTTTCCATTCTTTATCCACGCTCACACCCTCAGATTCGGAGACCAAGTTGTTTTACCTCCAAGCAGTGAAGTTTCCTCAACTTACTACACTATAGTAAAGGGTGATGATCTCTTCTACCTAGATCTTGTGGACATCAGCATTGCAGGTCTCAGTCTGGGGCTGCCGGCGGGCACTTTCGATGCGAAACGAGGCAGTGGGATGATCCTGGACTCGTCAACTCCAGTGAGTGTGATCAGCACAAGAACTTGGAACAACCTCAATGTTTACGAGTTGGTGATGTTGGCACTGATGGGGCACTACGACGGTGATAATCTTGTGCGAGTTCCGAAAAAATCGAGGCCTGAAAAGTATGAACTTTGCTATTTTAATCGTCCAGGATTCACCAATTGGGCAACGATGACGTACCATTTCCGGGGAGCGGACTACTTTGTGGATGCCAAATTCATGAATGTTCATTACGCGCAAGGGAATTTCTTCTGCATTGCGTTGATCGGAAGAGATGGGGCGTCTGTTCTTGGAGCCTTTCACATGCAGGACATGCGAATTGTTCATGAAGGCTATAGCAAATCCATCCATTTTTACCCTGTTAATTGTAGTCACGATCATTTTTAGAGTATAATGTCTTTTAATATTTGTATTGCCATAATATAGAATAAATAAAATGGCTTAATTAGAACTATTTTATTCTAAATTTGAGTCTATGTTCTTTGCTCTCTAGCTTACTAATGTTACTCTTTTCTATATTATAAATCTAATATGATACATGAAATAACTAGAGAGTATTCGGTATCAAAGAAAACAAACAATCATACACAAATAACCAACAGTAAAAAGAATGAACATGCGTGAACAAAATCAATATTATTGAAAATATAAACCCTAAACCATTGTTACAATAAATGTATTTGCTAATGAATTACTCTCATACTCTCATACACTCATATAATGAATAATGTCTCTATATACCAGGTTTACTAAGAAAAACATGGTACTACTAGGATTCTTATTCATAAATCAAACCCTATTAGGAGTTCAATTCATTAGAGAAAATTCTACAACGGCTTTTCATGTTATAAACCCAAATCGTTTATGGGCTCGGGGCCATTGCCCCTAGTTGTCACAACGAGACCCCGTATGCATTTGCCTCACTCCTTATTATTGAAGTGGTTGCCAACTCCAACAATATGAACAAAAGAAAGCATAAAATTGTTTATGAAATGATTTTCTCTTCATTTATATATGATCAATATGAACAAATAATTAATATGATTACTAAGAATTTAATAAAGAAAGTAAAATGATAATTGATTGTAATTCCATTTAGACTCATAATAATATTAATAAAAGATTTTAACAAATTAAATGACTCAAACTTGAAATTCTTATCACAAAATCAAAGTAAAGTATTATAGAAGTTTTACATATTAAAATGTAAGTTAGTATGTGGTGANGTTTATGAAACGATTTTTTTCTTCATTTCTATATCATCAATATGAACAAATAATTAATATGATTACTAAGAATTTAATAAAGAAAGTAAAATGATAATTGATTGTAATTCCATTTAGACTCATAATAATATTAATAAAAGATTTTAACAAATTAAATGACTCAAACTTGAAATTCTTATCACAAAATCAAAGTAAAGTATTATAGAAGTTTTACATATTAAAATGTAAGTTAGTATGTGGCGAAGAGACATCTTGATTTTTTTTTAAACTAACTTACGCACCCCTCGACTAATCACCAAGAAAGAGAAAGATCTTAATGTTATCAATGTGTAATTTTGAAACTTTACAAATTGGGAGAAAAAATTAACAAAATTAAAGAACCATAAGAAAATGCCTAAATTGAAAGATGATTATATTATTTCTAAACAAAATAGAAAACAATTCCAATTTTTAAGTTTTAGGTCTCGTATTAATAAAGCATTTTCCATAGCTACAACATGAAATAATAAGTTTAAAGTTTCCCTTATACTATAAATTAGTGATGGGTCACTGGTGTATATATATGTTGGACACAATTAATTAAAATAGAGATATAGATTAGAAATATATCTTTAAAAATGAGTTACCATATTCCATGCATGTATGTCAAAGTAGTATTTCTCAAATTTATTTTATTTTTATCATTTTATTATAACATTAATAAGATGAGTAGTATTAATTAAACCATGTATTTGAAGTAGTATTTCTCAATTTTTTTTTGCTCTAGTGATGTATTATTTATGTCATAAATTCATGAATTGCACTTACAAACTTAAGGTTTTTGGGTGAACCAACAATAATCTTAATTATACATTAAATGAAAAAAAAATCATTAATTTTGTTGATGCACATTAAATTGCTTCAAATAAAAAAAAAAAATACCTATCTTAATTATATATATATATAGAAAGAGCTTTGTTGATGTGAAAAGATAAACATACTAATAAGGCTCGAGAAATGATTTATTTATATGAAGAACAACTAGACCTCCAAGAACAAGTGACAGAGAGATTCATTGATAAAATTCTTTATTCCTTATCACGATCTAAATTTAGGTTATTATATAGTTTTTCACTTAACTCCAAATGACTCCTAAAAGGATTATAATTCATATTCTAAAAGATATCCTAATTACAAGATATTCTAATTGTCTAATTATATTTAACGTATACCCTTTTCAAACATCTCCCCAATCATCCCCAAATTGGGTTCCTAACACGTATCCACACAATAAATTTAATTAACTGTAATAATCTTTTTAAGAAAAAAAAAATTGTTTTTAGTTTAAAAAAACTATAAAAATAAAGTAAGAAATTAGTGTAAAATGAATATAACATTTTTAGACATGGGTTTGTTAACATGGGTTGTATATACCCTTATTAATAACATCAATTATAAACCAATATGTTTGTTTTAAAACATCTAAATTGCTTTATTAGAGATCACTAAATGAAAACAAATCTGTTAAAAATCCAATTGGTTCTTACCAATTTGTTCCACTTAGGAAACCGAAATTTATTATAAATGAGTAAGAGATTTGAACCATTATACTCAATTCCTCGCACTTTAACAAAAATGGCAGGAATTCAGAAATTCCCTGTAAGATCTGTATTCCTTTATCTGGTATTAATTATATTTTCCAAGCTGAGTTTTGGTGGCAGTAGTTCGAAGCACTCTTCAGGATTCAGGCTTAAGCTCATCCCCAGGGACTCTCCTAAATCCCCTTTGTATCCTGGAAACCTCACACAATTGGAAAAAATGGAAAGATTGATTGATTTCACCAAAGCTAAAGCTGAGCTACGCAGGATGAGATTGCATACTTCTCCAAGTTCATCTATGTTCGATGATGAAAAGTATATAGTCGCTCTGAGACGTCAGGCTTTTTACTATATCGCGGAGATGAAACTGGGAATACCTGGTCAACTTATTTATTTAGTACTTGACACTACTGCTGATCTAATTTGGACACAATGTGAGCCTTGTGTACACTGTTTCGATCAAGAAGCTCCCATTTTTGATCCGAAAGCTTCCATGACTTATTCCAGGGTTCCCTGTAGAGACCACCATTGTAGTTACGGTAATGAAAATGACTATTTCACATGTCTTGGTGGATATTGCACCTACAATTTGACCTACAACAATAGCCTTCTCGGCTCTACAATCGGCTCATCATCCAGGGATTACTTCCACTTTTACGACGACACTTCAGGATACAGCAGTACAAAATTTAACTTATTCTTCGGCTGCTCGAATTACACCACAAATCTCAGCATGTTTATTGACCCTCAAAATATTATCTCCGGGGTCATGGGATTAAACTTATCTCCACTCTCTCTCAACAGCCAATTGAAAGACCGCATTCAAGGCAAATTCGCTTATTGCGTCATTCCTTGGGATGAAAATTTCCCCTTTGATGTCCATGCTCTTCCTTTCGACTTCGGAGATGATGTTGTTCTTCCTCCAAAAAAAATTCCAATGGAGGTGAGCTACGCCAAAGTGTTGGATGCGAATGAATATTACCTAGACTTACGAGATATAAGTGTTGCAGATTCTCATTGTTTCTTTGTATTTGGAACCTTTGACCCTGCACCTGGTGAGGGTTTCATCTTAGACTCGACCAGTCCAATAACGATGCTCACCAAAAACGCTACAAAAACTGGTATAAATGTTTATGACAAGGTGATCACGAAACTGAGGAACTATTATCAGCTTCAGCATCTTTCGCCGTTACTTGGCCCTGATAATCCTACAAATTATGAACTTTGTTACAAGAACAAAGAAAATTTTACGGATTATGCGTGGATAACTTACCATTTCCGTAAATCAGTAGACTACGTGGTCGATGCCAAATTTATGAATATTAACTACAGCGGAGGGTTTTTCTGTGTTGCGTTGCTTGGAAATGATGGGCCGCAGACTGTTCTTGGATTATTTCATATGCAAAACATGCGTATTATTCATCACGCCACTGATTTCGACCATGGATCAATCCAGTTTTACCCAGCTGATTGTGCTCAAGATCATTTTTAATTGGAATGTTGATTCCTTCTGTTCTGTGTGTTAATATTTGCCAAATAATGCCAGCTTTCTTATATTCTGAATAAAATGGCTTACAAATATGTTAGTTAATTACTCTATTTTTATTTCAATCTCACTTCTCTGTGCTAGATTTTCCCGGTTGATAATGTCATTCATTTTTTTTCTTAGCATTTTAATTTTCATAATAAAACTAATAATATGCACAAAATAGTAGCAGTACGATAGAAGCGGAATCGACAAGTATCCAAAGTGTCAGTTTTGGGTGTCAGTTTTGGTTCCAATTCCTAAATTTCAGTAACTGGTCGATTCTGGTTTCGGCATCGGTTCCCAGGGTTTGGGCTGGGTAGCCCGACTGCTTATCCCTACAAAATAGTCTAAAATAAACTTAAAAAATGATTTTTTTTTTTTAAATCAATTAAATAAAAAGGCCTTGCTTTGAGTGTGGGATTAGACCCACTCAATTAAATAAATAAATAAATAATAAAAACTTGTAACGGTCTCTAGTCTCTGTCTTCCTGTATTTGTTCATTCTTCAGTTTTTCACAGGAGCAAGAGAAACTAACAAAATGGCTCAATTTCTTGATTTGAAATCTCAATTTGTCCTCTCAAAACACTTTCTTCTCATGAACCCAGTTGTTGAAACGAATATTTTACTTCGAAACACCAATTTTGCACCAAAATTTCCATCTTTTCACTCATCAGTTACATTTTCTCGCCAAATTCATTTGCTGAAACCAATCACATTTGCGAAAAAGAGTAAAAGGCGACGTGGGTTTCAAAGGTCAAGGAAATTTATGGTTCAATTGATCTCAATTTTGGCTTCAAATCTCAACATTATACCACAACCGTTGGATATTGTGATTGAAGAATTTATTGGTGGAGATGGTGGAGGACTATGGTTTTTGAAGGGTTTAAGAGGAGGAGGATTTGGTTGGGGGAGAAAAAGAAAAACAGGAAATTTGGGGGTTTTAGTGATTTTAGCGTTTTTGGGTTTTTTGTATTTGTTCTTTGGAGGAGAGTTAAAGACTGATGTGTTTTGTGGAGTTCTGGGTATTGGCTCATCTGGGTTTGTTTTAATCCAGGGGTTGAAGAGAAATGTCAAAGCTTTGATTTTTGGGATGTGTTGTTTTGGTAGTTTGATGGGTTTGGGATGGAGGAGAGAGGAGGCTACGAGATGGATTGACGAATTTAGGAGTTATCCAATGGTTGAAATTCTTGCAAGAGGTAAAAGAAAAGGTAGAAGAGCATTAACCAGTGGTCGAAGATGATTGCTTGTTGAAGAACAATGGCAGAGCAAATTGCAACGAAAGATTTTTTCATTCTTTTATTTGGTTTGTGAGAGTTTTGTCAGAGAAGAGAGAAAGAAAGTTATCAATGTAGTTTGATTTTTTTTTAATTAATTTGCTCATTTCATTGATTTTTTGAGACATTGATAATATGATTTGATATGACTAATGCAATATCTTGAAAATGTCAATGCAATTTGAATTTCGATGCAATTTTCTGTTTATGCACAAGCTTCTTGCAACTCACCATTATTTTCCATGTGAAGGTAAAAAGCCAAGACTACAAAGGACCTTTGAGTAATTCATATAACTCAAAGCCACTAATGTTCAAGACATTACAAACTGTCCACTTCTTTGGTGCTTTAGTCTAAGAAATGAAACACTAGAAAACACTACAGCACCATCTTGTCTCTCTTAGAAACATGTAAACCATGGAAGAATTGAACATTACATGGTCTGATGATCACTACATCTTTATCAAAGATATAATCCCCTTGAGCAAACTCATTGATTTTGTACAACTTCTGAATCTAGCATCTTAACCATGCAAAATCAGTTTTTAGAAAAATTCGCAGCCGTGTCTTATTTGGAACTCTAGATCAAAGGGTATTCTAATAGGACACCCCACATGAGGCATTTTTCCTGTATAGGGAAATGCTGCAAAGGGGTCACTCACCAGATCATTTACATATCCCTTTGTGCTTAAGCTTGTTCAATTGTCTATGATATTGAGTTTGGGAGGTGTATTCATAATCACGTTTTGAAAACTGGGTTTGAGGTGAATGTTTACGTATCTACTTGTTTGCTTAATTTGTATGTATTGTGAAGATATGAAATCGATTACAAGTGTTCGATAAAATTCCCAAGTGGAATGTGGTAGCTTGGACCATTTGATAGCTGGGTATGTTAATAGTGACTGTTTCTGTGAAGCTATTAGATGTTCAAGGATATGGGAATTTTAATGTAGAGCCTAATGAAATAACTAGACTAATTTTCTTGTTGCTCCGGTAAGAGTAGAGATTTAGCTACCGGAAATGGGCTCATATCGTGTATGTGAACTTGGTTATGACCCCTTTGAGTCAAAGTCTAACTAATGTGATTCTTGCACTGCTATGTTGCCATGTATGCTAAATGTGGCTGCTTAAAAGTTGCCAGGATTTGTTCAACAAAATGCCCAAAGAAACTTGGTTCTTGGAATTCAATGATTGCTGGCTATAATCAATATGGGCCCGCTGAGAAGCCTAGGTATTTCCTGAAATGCTTTTTTCTGGGTTTGATCCTGATAGCTACCTTCTTGAGTGTGATCGGTGCCTCTGCTAAGTGGGTGCTTTGGCCTTGGGACAAAGTCTTCATGCTTATGTATCAAAACTGACATTGACAAAGATGTTGCTATAGGAACAGCTTTACTGATATGTATGCTAAAATTGGGATGCAAAAACTGCTCGGCAATTTTTCATGATTTGCAGACCAAGATCCATGGCATGACTAGCATGATATAGGCTTAGCTATGCATGACATGGAAGAGACACTGAGCACTTTCAAGAGAATGCAGAGGACCTAATGTGACTCCTGACCAAATCACATACATTGGGGTTATGTGCCTGCAGCCATGTTGGACTGGTTGAAGAGGGTAAAAGACACTTTGCAGAAAGAGGTGAGATTTATGGCATTTGCCTTCAATAGAACACTATGGTTCATGGTTGATCTTTTGAGTCGGCCGGGCACTTTGAAGAAGCAGAAGATTAGTAGCAAATGCCAGTCAAACCAAATGCTGCAGTATGGGGAGCTCTCTTGAATGGCTGTGAAATATATGAAAATGTAAACTGGCAAACCTAGTAAGAAGTCGCGTGGGAGGTCGAACCTCTTGGGAGTGGAGTTCATTGCTTCTTTCTAATATATATGCTAGGGCTGGTAGATGGCAAGATGTAAAGATGGCCAGAGAGTTTGAAAGAACAGAAAGATTGTAAAAAACCTGGGCACAGTAGGTTGAAATGATTATGACCTGAGTATTTTGATGCTTGCACTTTTGTGGTGATTTTATTTGAAGTCATATAACTCTTCAATGTTTCAAGATACATAAAATATGTTTTATAACACCTTTACAAGCCACAGGTAAATTATAACCTCTTCCAAGTGGTTCCTTTCTTCGGTAACAAAAGTGACTCAATATACAAAAAAAAGGTACCAAGTTCCATATGAAAGTGGCTCTATTTACAACTCAAAAGGATCTCACTGATATGAACACAGGTGTTTCAGAACAGGAAAAAGTTATTTCTGAGCTACAAGTTGCTGAAATATCAAGTATGAAACTCAACATAGTCAGAAGTTGCAATAACTAGGGATCAACTCAGATTCATTTCAGCATCTAGCAATATCAGGAGCTGTTGCTTCTGCAAAGTCACTTTATCTGCTCTTCTTTTTATATCTACAACAACCATATGATACCGGAATACCTCTTGCCACAGTCAAGCCCTCGGCTTAAATCATTACCTCTTCATGAAAAATCATTATGATCTTTAACAAAGGAGTTATAGTTTAATGTTGGATGGATAGCAATCACCTTTTTTCCTCATATACCTTCAAGAATCCCGCCAGTACCAAAATTACCAGAAAAAGTTCTGGGTTTTGGCTCATTTGGGTTTGTTTTAATCCGGGGGTTGAAGAGAAATGTCAAAGCTTTGATTTTGGGATGTGTTGTTTTGGTGTTTTGATGGGTTTGGGATGGTTATGAGATGGATTGATGAATTTAGAAGTTATCCAATGGTTGAAATTCCTGCAAGAGGTAAAGAAAAGGTGAAAGCATTAACCAGTGGTCAGAAGATAATTGCTTGTTGAACAACAATGGCAGAGCAATTGCAACGAAAGATTTTTTTCATTCTTTTATTTGATTTGTGAAGAGTTTTCTCTGAGAAGAGAGAAAGAAAGTTATCAATGTAGTCTGATTTTTTCATTAATTTGCTCATTTCATTGTCAAATAATTGTAATGCAAATTTCAAAGGATTATGAGAAATTTTTGAGACATTGATAATGATTTGATATGAGGCAATGCCATATCTTGGAAATGTCAATGCAATTTCCTGTTTCTGCAACTCTCCATAATTTTCAAGTGAAGGTAAAAGGCCTAGACTACAAAGACCTTTGAGTAATCCAAAACTGAAATCCAAATATTCAAGACTAGAGTAAACGACATAGTCCTCACACAAAAATTAGCGAAATGGCCTTGGTTTTATTATTCCAGATGTGAAGTTCTGACAGGTGTTATTACCAAAAGGCCCCCTCATCTTCTGCTTCATCTCCAACCACCCAACCATTCCAGATTCAAGATTAAGGTTTTTCACATTTTGCCGATTTCCGGCCGAGGCCGGTGACCCAAATCACAATTGACACCACCCCTACCCTCACAATCATCCCCGTAACAAAACCCCTATCAACCCTAACCGCAGCACTCACCGATCGCCGTCGAACGCCCACTGCGTTTTCGCCCGATTTTCTCTCTTTACGGCCATTTTCCGGTCGTTGTTGACATCGGAAATCCTCCCCGATGGCACCAAACGAACCCCACCTCCCTCTCTGCAACCTGCCTCCTCTGACTCCCCCAACTCGCCGTTTGCCGCCATCTGCTTGCCGCCGCGAGACATCGCATTTTTGCAACCCCACCATCTGAAAACAGCCGGATTTTTGGTGTTGATTTGCTGTGTTGCTGTTTGAAGTGTTTGGGTTGCGGTTAGTTTGTAATTTTTTCGGTCATCGGCCGTTCCCCCATCACTACAAAACTGTCGATTTCTTTGTGTGCTTTAGTCCTAAAATGAAACACGTGAACAAACCTACGACAACATCTTGTCTCTCTTAGAAACATGTAGAACCATGAGAGAATTGAAACAATTACATGGTCTGATGATCACTACTCAGTTATCAAAGATATAATCCCCTTGAGAAAACTCATTGATTTTTGTGCAACTCGTGAATCTGGCAATCTTACTATGCAAAATCAGTTTTTAGCCAAATTCATCAGCCTAGTATCAAATTGGAACTCTATGATCAAAGGGTACTCTAGAGTGACACCCCACAGGAGACATTTTTTCTGTATAGGGAAATGCTGCAAAGGGTCACCCACCAGATCATTTACATATCCCTTTGTGCTTAAAGCTTGTTCAATTGTCTATGATGTTGATTTGGGATGTGTATTCATAATCACGTTTTGAAAACTGGGTTTGAGGGAATGTTTTATGTATCTACTTGTTTGCTTAATTTGTATGTATCTTTGAAGATATGAAATCAGGATTACAATGTTCGATAAAATTCCTAAATGGAATGTGGTAGCTTGGACCATTTGATAGCTGGGTATGTTATAGTGTTGTGCTGTGAGGCTATTAAAGTGTTCAAGGATATGGAGAATTTAATGTAGAGCCTAATGAGATAACTGACTAATGTTCTTATTGCTTCCAGTAGGAGTAGAGATTTAGCTACCGGGAAATGGGTCTAATCTTGTTTGTGAACTTGGTTATGATCCCTTGAGTCAAGGTCTAGCCGTGATGCGATTCTCGCAACTGCTATTTTTGAACTGTATGCTAAATGTGGCTGCTTAAAAGTTGCCAGGGATTTGTTCACAATTGCCCGAGAAAATTGGTTGCTTGGAATCAATGATTGCTGCCTATAATCAGTACGGGCAAGCTGAAGAAGCACTAGGTATTCTCTCTGAAATGCGTTTTTGTGGGTTTGATCCTGATAAGCTACCTTCTTGAGTGTGATCGGCGCCCCTGCAAGTTGGGTGCTTTGGCCTTGGGACAAGTCTTCATGCTTATGTATCAAAACTGAGCTTGAAAAAGATGTTGCTATAAGACAGCTTTACTGGATATGTATGCTAAAATTGGAGATGCAAAAACTGCTTGGCGAATTTTTCAAGATTTGCAGACCAAGATGCCATCGCATGGACTAGCATGATTATGGGCTTAGCTATGCATGGACATGGGGAAGGCACTGAGCACTTTTAAGAGAATGCAAGAGGACCCTAATGTACTCCTGACCAAATCACATACATTGGGGTTTTATGTGCCTGCGCAATGATGGACTGGTTGAAGAGGGTAAAAGACACTTTGCAGAAATGAGTGAGATTTATGGCATATTGCCTTCAATAGAACACTATGGTTGCAGGGTTGATCTTTTGAGTCGAGCCGGGCGCTTCGAAGAAGCAGAGAGATTAGTAGATCAAATGCCATTCAAACCAGATGCAGCAGTATGGGAAGCTCCTTGAATGGCTGTGAAATATATGAAAATGGAAACTAGTAAGAAGTCGCTGGGAGAGTTGGAACCTCTTGCGAGTTGAGTTCGTGTGCCCCTTTCTAATATATATGCAGGGGGTAGTGGCATGTGTAATGTGGCCAAGAGTTTACGAACAGAAAGATTATAAAAAACCAGCACAGTGAACTTGATATTGGGTGCTCACAAAATACCCGATACCCGAACTGGAACTGGAAAGCAAACTGAGCTGAACGAAAAAACCGGTTACCAAAATCTGATCCAGTTTTAAGTAACACTATTGGTGAAAACTGGATTTCCGTTTGAATTCCGTTCGGATGTGCTAAAAACCTGTTACCTGAGCCGAGCCAGTTTTTGGCATAAAATTAAAATCCTAATCTATTTTGTCTAATTCCCAAATTCTCAAATCCAATAACCCTAGTTCTCTACCCCGATCTATCTCATTTCTACGCCTTAATGCCCTTTGCCTCAGGCCTTTTACCCGCTCATGACGCAGCCCTTGCCCAATGATGTTGTTCTCTTCCATTTCCCACAACAGATTCTAGGCAGATATTTGTTTCTCTTCTATTTCCCTTAATAAATTTGATCTATTGAGCAGTAGAGTTGTTCTTAAATTGATGTTAATGTTGATTGTCAATTGATGTTCAAATTATGTTTTTTTTTTTTTTTTTTTGGTCAGTATATATTTAAGTTTCAAACAGCGAGGCAGAATTATATCCGCTTGAACCAAACCGGATTTTCAGTTCATTTCAAAACCTTTCAGCCACAACCGGTTTGGTTTTGGTTCGCTGATGCTTGAACCAGATTTCCAGTTCAGTTAAAAAACACCAACCAGTTCGGGTAACCATTTTGCACACCCCTAGCGTTGAAATGATTTGATGCTTGCACTTTTTGATGATTTTATTTGAAAGTCATATGACTCTTCAATGTGCCAAGATACATAAACATGTATTATAAATAAGCACCTACAACCAGGTCAACAAAATAAGGGCCAGAAAAGGAAAACAAATTATAACTTCTTCACGTGGTCCTTCTTCGGGAAACCATAATTATTAATTTAACCAAAAAAAAGTACAAGTCCACATACGAAACTGACTCATATACAACTCAAAAGGATCCCACTATATGAACACAGGTCTTACACTACAGGAAAAAGTTATTTCGGCGCTACGAGTTGCTGAAATTATCATAGTATGAAACCTACATAGTCTCTCAAGTTGCAAAACTAGGATCAACTCGTGTTTCATTTCAGCATCTAGCAATATCAGAAGCTATTGCTTCTGCAAAGTCACTATCTGCTGCTCTTCTTTTATCTACCACAACCACATGACCATATGATACTCAGAACCCTCTTGCCGCAGTCAAGCCCTCGCTTAAATAAATTAGTCCATGAAAAAATCATTGATGATCTTTAACAAAGGCGTGATAGTTTAAAGTTGGATGGTAACAATCAACCTTTTCTTCACAATACCTTCAAGAATCCCATCAGTACCAAAGTTACCAGAAAAGTGTCGGGTATTTACCGGACCTGGTAGCCAGAATGTGATGGTGAAGTGCCCAGGTGGACAAAGATGTTGTGTTTGCATCTTAAAGACTTGGGAGTTCTTGCAGACTATTTTCTCACCAGTTGTCGTTACTCCCTTTATGTTTATTTTTCCATCTGGTTGGATGTCAAACAAGAAATCCTCTGCAGCACCCACAAAGTAATTCATCAAACACATGCATGAAGCAAAATCAGCATTTTAAGGTAGGGACACATGGTATAAAACAAAACGAAGGTTAAACAGCACTAAGTGAACAAATGATATGCACAAAAAGCATAGGAAGGTTTCCAACCAGTTGTGCTTATCTCAACAAGAAATTGCATACATCACAAAAGCAGTCATACTTCTCCATTTTCATGGACACAACAAAGAACAGTACACAACTCCAAATAGAGAAGTAAGGCTGCCTCAATGCAACAAAGAAATGACCATTCAGTGTCAGATGACATTTATTAGCAAGCTATGATAAACACACACACCAAATTGATCAAATATTAAAAATCAATGAAACTTACTTTCATCCCTTGCTACCCCAGGGAGGGAGACCCGAAATAAGTAGGAATCCACAGATTCCCCAATGTCAACTAATCCTAAAATTGGTCCCACCTTCCCCATAGCAGCACTGCCAGTTAGTGCAACTCCACTTGACATTGCAAACGTGATATTATCCCACTCCTCCCGAGTTGAGTGAGAAGGCAGAAATACAATAGCTGGACCAACTTTTTCCACAGCCTCAGTTTTCCTTTTGGGTGGTGTTGATTCGTTAGGCGTTGTTGGTGGACCAATATATGGCATGCTATTGAGAGGAGCCACATCAAGGACATGCTGCTGAGGATTTACATGCTCTGGCCCAGCGTATCCACTTGCTTTCTCAGACCTGCCAAAATACCTTTCATTCTTTATTCCAAGATATGGTAACGCTAAAATCTGCATTATAATGTAGTTCATGGGGTTAAAGAGTTCTGAGCTTGCAAAAGTTTTTCCAAAGCTCAGCAACCTAAACTGATGTTCCTTCATGACACAAACAAATGACAACAAGAAAAGCCCGAATATTCCTTGATTAAGAAAAACGTGGTAATGTCCTTGTGTCAACAGTAATTGTGGATACGTGAATTCATAAATAAGCAATTAAATGATTAAAGAGGGTCTTTTACCATGTCTTGTAAGGTAAAATTACTTACTGAAACACTACAATCAGAAAAACTTCCTAACCCTGGACATGAACCCCCAGCCATTTAATGTCCAAGTCTTGATGCTTTTCTTCCCAACTGGATCCCATAGTTCAAATTATAATATAGATCATTTAAAACCCAGGAAAGATAAAAGACGTAGAAACTTTTCTGAACAAGCAATTTGAAGTCCTATTGAGCAAACAACAGCCTTAGATCATGTTTTATTAACTACCTGCGTAATCTCAAACTAATTCTTCTTCAGTATAATAATATCAAATAATATAACAGAAATTGTACTGGTCTTTAAATCATTGAGGAAATTCAGACCTTTAATTAATGCCTTAGCATAATCTATATAAAATTGCACTTTTAAGACACGCGTGGCAGGGAGACCCACTACAGTTACCATACACTGAGTATCAAAAAGACAGAACAAGTAAAGATAAAGGTATTTAATAATATCAACTACTTAACATTTATTCTATCACATTACCAAGAAATTCTACATCAGTAGGACAAGAAGAATTCTCAAAAAAAAAATGGACATACAAGAAAACTGCAGCTGAAGTTCCAAAACCATCAACACATACTACAGTCATCTCTGTTTGTTTTGGAAACATGATATTAGAAGGAAAAAGACAAAATTAAGACTGAAAAAAACTAAATGAGATCTGTTCAGTTTAAAATTCGAACACATCATATTACCAAACACTAGATGACACAAAGATCAACAAATTTAAAAAATAATAAATATCAGACCTCAGACACACTGAACTGATGACTGTGGGTTTAAAATCTTTCTGGTGAGTTACTAATCTGATAATAGAAAATGATCCTAGAAATTCCATCCTCGTCTTCATCCTCATCTCCGTCTTCTTCGTTAATCATAACCCAAAACTTCATCAAATTTAAAAGTATGATTTCCAAGAGACAGATGTCGGTAATTAGTTTTGGCATATACATATCAATTTTGTCAGGCAATACAAACTTGCCTTATGTTGAAGATGTTATTGAGAGAAATTTTTCGCAACAACCTCATTTAGTATTTCTTTCTCAAATTACTCATCTATCCCTTCTTTATTTTCACATTTTATATATATGGTACATAACTACAATGAAATTTTGCAGAACACAGGTACTGGAAACATTGATTGTACAGACCCAGGAGATTCCTTATCTAGTAGGATAGATGACTTTTTCACTTATAGAAGTTATCGAAACTAGAAGTGCACATGCAACATGCGTGTGTCATCCAAAACTGAAAAGGTCAAGCTCTGTTCCTGTGTATGCACACCTGCATCTTTGTGAATATACATGAATGTGCAAGTGAAAGACACGTGTGAAAACTAGAGGTACATGAATGAAATGTTTGCTAGAATAAAGATGTTCAAAGCATCGATTGTATAATCCACATAGATTCCTTACTCAATAGCAAACAAATTTTCAAGTAAGAAAGTTATTGCAACTAGGACTGTTCACATCCAATAAGTTTAGAGTGGGTTTGTGTATCTGCTCACCTGACATGCATACATGAGAGGACGTGCACATATCACATAATGAGTTCTACAATAAAATAACTGAAACACTGATTTCATAATTTGAGGAGGTTTCTCATTTAATAGCACCTAGAAGGCATTTTGATTGTATAATTTGAACAGCTTTTAACAAGATCTCCAATTACTTCAATAAGTCCATGAAATTATGATATTAAAGGTTCAAGCAAGCAACCCTTTGTTTGTCCAAATCACTATCGAGATCTTTAACCCAAAAAGCTTATTAACAATCATTTCCTCCAATTAAACATAAGGCTCTTTGACCAAACAAAGCCCAATTGAAATGACGTTCAAGAAGACGTGTTAGAAAAGCATAGCTGCCTGCCTTCAAGTACCTACAAATAAAAAATTATCCATACAAAAACCTAAAACATAAATCCAAATGGATTATATAATACATTAGATAGAATGACAGTCCAACTATATCAATATCATGCCTCTCATAAGCATCCTTCCCTTTTATTTTCTAGCTTCCTAGCTTCCAGAACCCACATTATAAACAAATGCCTTCGTGCCTACAGTAACATCAACACTTAAAGAATTCTCTATACCCATAGACTTAATGAAAGACTAGCAAAAACACTTTTTGTCTTTGTCAACATAAAAATTATAACACTTCACGACAACTTTTCAAGAGGACCTAAAGATTTTAGACTAAGATTTAACTTTAACAGACTCTTTATATTCACTCACTAAAAGAGGTCAAATTTCAAATGAGATTGATCAGGACTAATGGAAATAACAACCGAAACTTGAAATTTCCAATAACTGGCAACAAACACCAAGGCACAATCCTCCTTTAGATGTTTCCAACAAAGTCTTCATGAACAAACAGAAAAGAAAGTCTTTCAAACTCTCCCATAAACCACTAAAAGAGAAATAACCAAGAGTAAACATGGAGTGCCCAGAAATAAACAAAACAACTAAAAACTCCTCTACTTTTATATTTTTAAATAACCTATAAATCTCTTGAACCCACTTATCGAACTTTTAGTGTTTGCTATAACCATCGGGAAGCAAAAAAAAAAAAAAAAAAAAAAAAAAAAAACCTTGGTTAAACCCCAACACTTCATGGGAAGTAACCCCATAAAGTTAAAAAAATTAAACTTTCCAAACCCCAAGAATCAGCTTCTAAGTTGATCAATAAATCCATTTTCTTACTTCATTTGATCTTTCCTCTATAATCATTCTTAAAAACATAAAACAATTTCAAAAATCTTTTTCTTTTTCCTCCCTCTTCACAACAACAAACCATAAAACTTCAATACTCCAGAAAAAAAATAATAATCAACCACAGAAATTACAATTTAAAAAATAAAAGTCAGATACCTGACATGAAATTTGCAACAAAACTCAAACACATTCACACCTCAAATCGTTTCCATAATAAAGAATTCATGCATACATGTTACATGCATGTGTGAGTTGTACCTGGACGGAGAAGCCATGACTGGGTTGAAACAGTGAGTTAACTGAGTGAGACACCAGAGAATGGATGATCGGTTGTCGGAAGTCCACCATTATAAGCACAGCAAGAACCGGGTCGGGTTGACCCGTCAAATCATATTTTAAATTTAATGAACTCGCAATCGAATTGGGCCTATCTGGTTCAGTCAGCCGCGTATTTGTATTTCAGATATTTACATTAACACCCCCAAAGTTTACTCTGCTTGGCTCCTTGTAGTTTCTAAAACTAACAATAACACTCCCAAAACTAACAGTGATGCATTTCCAAATTCCAAGTATACATAAGTTCGTAATGGGTACGTCTAAATCTAAATTTTAGATTAACTATTATATTAAAAAATTCAAATTTTATATTAATATTATATTAGAGGTTTCTATTACAATATCGAGATAATATTATCTTTAATTAATAAAATTTACTCGTATAAAAATATCTTTTAAAGAAAAAAATTAATGTACAATATATATACACATGTAATCAATCAATAAGAATCGAACGTATGTATTATCCTCGTTGATGTGACATACTCTTATTAATTAGTCGGGTTTATATTCATTCGTTGTACGTAAGATTTTCTTTTCTTGAGTCTATTTAGGGGCAAGAAAAATATCCGATTGTCCTTATGACAAATGTAGGACAATAAAGATGAGTTTATAACCAATCTTATAAACTTTATCACATAATTTTGATGTGGTAATTCACAATTGTATAAGTAAAATTTATTATGAATTAATTAATTACGAATTATTATATCAAAATTGTGAAAAAAAAAAAATCTATAAGATTGAATTACAGATGTAATATTGCGGCAATGCCGGGAAGTCCATTATTTATTGGTTAAATAAACGTAAGCATAATTACACGTACAGTCCGCAAAATATTCAGACGTTACCAGATATATTTGTTTTCACTAACTATAGTCCATATAGTAGCCAAAACCCGGTTGTGTTTTCCTTCATTGCCTCTGCTCCCTTGACTCTCTCGACCGGTTAGCTTTTTCTTTTTCTTTATCTTCTTCTTGTTCTTGTTCTTGTTCTTTACGTGCAAAATATACATCACTATGTGGTTTAATCTTGATGAGTTTAATTACTTGTGTTTATGTCCATGCATAGAATGTTTTGATCATCAATTAATTGTTTATGTTATGTTAATGGGGTTTTTAAATTTTGGTGTCATTAATTTGGGAAATGAACTAACATGCCAACTTGGTACTCACTTTGCTTGGAGATGAAGTGGGTTTTGTATTGAGGGGATTGTCGCTGAATTTGTTTATCTAAAACATTTTTGCTCATTGTTTTGTGTTTGTTTGGGTTGTTTTTACCAGAACTGTGTCTGGAAATGTCAGTAAGATGGCTTGATTTTTTGTTTTATTTAGTTATCGTGGTGATGAATAGTTAATTGCATGTTTACATAATGGATGGATTCAACCTCTACTGAAAGTTTCCATGCTGATGTGTGTGGATGTGGAAAGATTGGGATAGATAGATATGGGTTAGATAGATTTTTCAATCAGTCGATAGTATGAAACTTTGGGTCATTTTTAAGGATAGCAAAGGTTCAATATGCATATTAAAGGGTGATTTCTTGTACTTTTTTCGAATTCTCTTGTTTGCACAGGGAACCAAAATTTAAGCTGAAGCCAATATTATTATAGTTACTGCCAACTGTGAAAATGCCCTTTCTTTCAACTATTTAATTTGGTATATCTTATATTGCCAAAAGTCAAGACGATTACCGGATACATGTATATGTTATGTTTATGTCATGCTTGTAATTACACTTTCTGTGATATACAGATGTCATTTTGCCTTAAAGTCTATGGTTAATTTCTTAATTAATATTGTTTTCTCATGCAGATTTTGATTTACTGTATGAGCTATTTCTATGGATAGCACATCTCAGGTGACAGTTTTGCCTGCTGCTCCAAGGTTAGAATCCAATAATGTACCAAGTGGAGCAGTACCAAATGAAGATCAGCGTTTTCTCCTGTACTTCATTTTCAGTACCTATTTTGGTCCTGATCTGAAAGGGGAACCACAGAAGTCAGTTTTTCAAAGAATGGCAGAGGGCCTTCCACCATATACTTCTGATCAACTAGCTGGATCACACATGAAAGCTGTAGAAGTAGAAAGGATATACTATTATGCACTTAGGAAGGCNTCTATAAGATTGAATTACAGATGTAATATTGCGGCAATGCCGGGAAGTCCATTATTTATTGGTTAAATAAACGTACGCATGATTACACGTACAGTCCGCAAAATATTCGGCGTTACCAGATATATTTGTTTTCACTAACTATAGTCCATATAGTAGCCAAAACCCGGTTGTGCTTTCCTTCATTGCCTCTGCTCCCTTGACTCTCTCGACCGGTTAGCTTTTTCTTTTTCTTTATCTTCTTCTTGTTCTTGTTCTTGTTCTTTACGTGCAAAATTTACATCACTATGTGGTTTAATCTTGATGAGTTTAATTACTTGTGTTTATGTCCATGCATAGAATGTTTTGATCATCAATTAATTGTTTATGTTATGTTAATGGGGTTTTTAAATTTTGGTGTCATTAATTTGGGAAATGAACTAACATGCCAACTTGGTACTCACTTTGCTTGGAGATGAAGTGGGTTTTGTATTGAGGGGATTGTCGCTGAATTTGTTTATCTAAAACATTTTTGCTCATTGTTTTGTGTTTGTTTGGGTTGTTTTTACCAGAACTGTGTCTGGAAATGTCAGTAAGATGGCTTGATTTTTTGTTTTATTTAGTTATCGTGGTGATGAATAGTTAATTGCATGTTTACATAATGGATGGATTCAACCTCTACTGAAAGTTTCCATGCTGATGTGTGTGGATGTGGAAAGATTGGGATAGATAGATATGGGTTAGATAGATTTTTCAATCAGTCGATAGTATGAAACTTTGGGTCATTTTTAAGGATAGCAAAGGTTCAATATGCATATTAAAGGGTGATTTCTTGTACTTTTTTCGAATTCTCTTGTTTGCACAGGGAACCAAAATTTAAGCTGAAGCCAATATTATTATAGTTACTGCCAACTGTGAAAATGCCCTTTCTTTCAACTATTTAATTTGGTATATCTTATATTGCCAAAAGTCAAGACGATTACCGGATACATGTATATGTTATGTTTATGTCATGCTTGTAATTACACTTTCTGTGATATACAGATGTCATTTTGCCTTAAAGTCTATGGTTAATTTCTTAATTAATATTGTTTTCTCATGCAGATTTTGATTTACTGTATGAGCTATTTCTATGGATAGCCCATCTCAGGTGACAGTTTTGCCTGCTGCTTCAAGGTTAGAATCCAATAATGTAGCAAGTGGAGCAGTACCAAATGAAGATCAGTGTTTTCTCCTGTACTTCATTTTCAGTACCTATTTTGGTCCTGATCTGAAAGGGGAACCACAGAAGTCAGTTTTTCAAAGAATGGCAGAGGGCCTTCCACCATATACTTCTGATCAACTAGCTGGATCACACATGAAAGCTGTAGAAGTAGAAAGGATATACTATTATGCACTTAGGAATGCAGATCAATCTCTTACTGTTAGATTACCTTGGTTGAACCAATTTTTTAAGGGAAATCTCCCAATATCTGGTAGTAACTTGCCCGTCATACATCCTCAGTTTCCTGATCTTTTTCCTCCCCAACTACATCCCCATTCACAGTTCAGAAATCATTACAAAATCATTGAAAACATTGTTTTTATTAACAACCCAGATGTCTCTTACAATAACCCAGAAGATGTAGAAAGGTTTAGAAGGTTAACTAGGAGTGAGAATATGGTTCTGCGCAGAGATGCTGCTAGGTTCCACATTTTGGAAGACCATAGTGTTTTGTATGACGTGCAAGTTAAAGAAGCTGAATCCAATGAAGATTCTCCTCCCATTATGTCATCTTATATTTCTCAGAGAAAAAGACGTATAGGCGATGCCATGAGATCCAAGGAAAAAGATATTCATGATGTGGAACCTGTAAATAGTATGTCATCAGGTGTTGCGCAGAGGATGTATCCTTGTATGGCTCCATTGCCAACCAAGGGTGACACCAAATTTCTGGATGCTGTTGGTCCAGCAATGATATTTCTTTCTTCTCGCCCAACCAAACAAGAGTGGGCTGATATAACAGCTGCCACTAAAAGTGGATTTGCATTGACTGGGACTGCAGCCATGGGGCGTGTTGGACCAATTGTCGGACTCATGGACATTGGCGAGTTTGACGACTCATATCTGTTTCGTGTTGCTCTTCCAGGAGTGAAAAGAAATGAAAGTAAGTTTATTATAACTACTTCAGGTTCATCACTTGAGTCCATTGGTGCTTTTCATGATTGCTGTGAGTATCATCTATTTAGTTATTATTCATGAATTCTCTCTATCATCTCATCTCCACCATGTATATTATGATGTTGAAGATGTAAAGGGAAGTATATAAAGTGGCAATTTCTTTACTGATTAGCATAAAAGTCATTGCTTTCTGCTTTCGTAATACATATTCAAAAGCAAGATCATTTCTCCTTAAAGTTTTAGACTTATTGCAGGATAAAATGATGTAATGACTTGAACATCTTAGCTAAGGTGATTGATAACTGGCTTCATTATTGATCTTGCTACTGGAAAACGGGGTTTCATTTTCAATGATATTTCCTTGCTGCAGGGGATTTCAGTTGCGAAGTTGATACCTCTGGGAAGGTACTAATAAGGGGAGTGACAACAACAGGTGAGAAATCAGTGTACAGGTACTCCCAAGTGTTTGAAATGCAAAGTCGGAACCTTTGCCCCCCAGGATACTTTTCGATCACATTTCAGTTGCCAGGACCAGTTGATCCTCAACAGTTTACTGGAAATTTTGGCACTGATGGGATTCTGGAGGGAATTGTGAAGAAAGAAAGACAGATTAGTTGATAAGTAGATTGCTTCTTGTAGAAAGGTCTTACCTCACTTGTTTGAACTTGTAACTGTATGTTCAGTTACTAAAGCCAACTCCATGGTATTAAAATGATGAGATTGAAATTTATGGAATTTACTCTCTTTTAATCAGTTTTTCCTGAGGTTGACCAGACAATGACCTGGCTTATTGTATTTTTTCATTCAGATATTGACCAGACAAGTTCATTCTTGTTTGCGAATGATGCAAAGATGAGTAAGGTTCTTGTTCAGCCCTCTGTGTTACCCCATTTATGGCTGTTCTTGAAAAAAAAAACAATTCCCAATTTCAAGCATATAAATATAAAGCAGTGTCCCCTTAACTTTAGCTAAAGCAGAATTCAAGAGATTTTATTAGTAGTGTAGTCGTGTCTGTGTTTAACATTGTATGGTTCAACCTCAGATATGTAGATGTCAAATGGGATGCCCAACAACCATTTGTGGCATTTTCCATTTCGCTCGTAGTGTGGAAAAGAAGTGGCCTCTATTCAAAGAGTCATTTCTTCAAAATTGGTCTCTATTTCTAGGTTTGTAACCTTCCCAAAGAAATGGGCGCTTTAGATAATACTAAAAGGTTTCTTCACAAATGTTCTAAGTTTGTAACCTTCGCAATAGCTTCATAGATATTACCTACCAAATAAAAGACCAGTTTAGATAGACCATCTAATTCTCACGACATCTCAATTTAAACCCACTAATTGTGAATCCACACTTCAGGTGACATTTCTATTACGATGGTCTGATGACATTTACAATGTTTTAAAACCCAGCCGGGGGTAAAACCCGACAAAGTGGTCAGTTTTTGGATTGACCGGTTTGACTGACGGGTCAAACCAGTGTCCAAAAGTTTGAAATCTAACAAAAATACCCCTAAAAATTACTGTAAGTCCCTATAGGCTTGAAATATTACAAAAACACCTCAAACACCACTGTTGATGTCGACAAATAAGGCATGTTTTTAACGAAGACAACCTCCCATCACCATGAAAACATTTCACTTAGCCTCTTGACCAAAACTTATCTCAACCCTCCCTCGTTTGCCTCCCAATCATCGACAACAACGGGATTTTTCCAACGACATTGTTTTGCGATTTTTGATCGATTTACTCACCAAAAATCAATGTCGTTGCCATCATTGCACTTACCAGCAGTTTCTCTTCCAAAGCTCTAACATTCCAACCTTCAACTGTTCATGGATTAATATCCTAATTTCTAAGATTTTAAATTAATAGAAAAATTTGCAGCCCAACCAAGTGAAGGATCCAAGTCCTGATTGACCCGGTTGGGCCAGCCAGAGTTTTAAATCAGTGGGCATTTTTTTGTAGCCATGTGTGACACAGTTACAGAACCTTGGAGTGGAACTGTTGAATGTTGATTAATTAGATAATTGGCAAGGTGGGCCACAGATTCACTCATCACAATGGTAGATAAAGATAAGCTTACTTTCAGGATATGTACAAAACATACTTGATGATAAAAATGTGTTGACTTTAGACTACCATTACACTGTATTTTGAAATCATGCCGTAACATTTTATTTGCCCTTTGTATAGACTTCTCAGTAGCCAAGCCTTGTGCACTGCATTCTACAAATAATTTCAGCAACTGAAACATGTGTTCTTTTCATACAAGTGACAGCAAAAACCTGCTGACACAAGATGTTGAGAACTTCCCTCTACCTGTTTTCAACCTAAACATCACAAGTCACTGGAATCCAAGTGCCCACATGACCTCTATGAATGATAAATAATACCAAAACTCATTGTGGAGGGAAGGAATAGAATTTCAGTTTCATGGTAATAAAGGTAGAAGCATCACTTTAAAGTTAAATTACTACTTATACATCTTTAGGTAAACCATACCTAACTAGAAATGAGAATGATAAGTTGATAACCACCCAGGTCAAAATGGGTTCAATCAAGAAAAAACTATTCTTTCCAAACATATTACTTATACATCTCTTTGAGTAATATCATATAACTGACTAGAAATGTAAAGATAACAACCAGGTGAAAAAAGGGATCAAACAAGATCAACTACTCTTTTCAACATATTATTTACAGAAAATCTGCTAGTCTTCGGCTGAAATCTCAGGGGCAGCTTTTGGATGCTAGAGACCTCTGGTCCTCCCCTGTTGACGTTAGCAAGATGATTCCATTAGAAACTGTGATCCGAAATTTTCAATAAATACAAATCGCAAAAAGAAAAAGAATGAAACACCAAACACAAAAGTGCAGGTTTCGAATCATCCAGGTGATTAGTACTGGAATGATGAAAATGACGCATACGTTATATATTAAGACAGTATGTAGAAAATCACATTGCAAACATTGCAGGAAAATGTCTATAAGTGAAGGGCAGTAGGGAATGACAGCTAGGATGAAAAAGCAAAGAAACTTGAGCACAAAAACTTACTCAACGATAGCTCTCTAAAACACAATGATTTAATTGCATTTTAACAATCAATGGCAAACAAGCAACAAATATACTAAAGTGAGAACTTACGCAATTCCTCAACTTCCAGACTACAGCCATTAATGATCTGAGGGTGATTGCTGTTGCTCTGGTCCCTGTGGCCACATCTGTTGAGCCATGTAAGGGTGAGATTGCTGGGCATACATTGCAGGATCCATCACAGGCTTACCCATGATCATACCAGTAGACCCAACCTGAGGAGCATGTTGAGGTGGCATATAGCAATAAGGTAGTGTATCAGCAGGTCCCGCAACAGGCATAGTTCCTCTAGGGATTGATGCAAGTACTTCATCTTTCAGATCCTCCCTAGGCACAATATCAACTAAAAAATCAAATATATCAGTCCTAGTAATTGCTGCTGCGATATCATTCTTTTGAAGTGTCCTCCTTTTGTTCTCTTCTGTGTGATTCCAGGATCGCAGAGTCAATTCCAAGATAAACATTTCGCATGCCCTTGCAAATATGACTGGTGCCTCTGCTGATATCATTCTCACATCCTCATCAGCTTTCATGATCTTCTTGATCCTTGCTAAGGGAAGGCTATGATTCTTGAAGTCGTTCACTTTTTCTATTTCTTGGTACTGATTTGCCCAAAAAGACTGGAGTTGCTGCTGCAGTTGCTGTTGCTGCTGGTGGTGGATTTGTTGATAGGCAAGTTGGTGCTGTGCCAGCTGGGCACCTGCTGCTTGAGTAGGAGATTGCATTGTCCCGATTGATGTGACCACTGATCCAGCATTTGGGGCCCCACTCATTTGATTAGTCTGATAAGGGTTCGTGCCATATGGCAACTGAGCTCCACCACCAACCATTCCCATAGAAGCGGGTTGTCCATGTCCTTGCCGATCCATTCTGATCCAATAGAATCAAAAACACACGAACTTCTCTGTTCTAATGCAAACAGGAAAAGGAACAAGAACAATTAAATCAAAGTTCATAGGATTACATAGTAGATATGAAAAGATCTCATTCCAAACCAAATGCACAAGGGAAATTATCTAAGCAAGAGAAAAGATTCATCATAATATGACTGAACAAAAAAGTAAAAAAAAAAAAAAAAAAGCTATTCATTCAATTGGATTCCAAATTAATAAATTCAAACATCTTAGAAGTTGTCTAGTTATCAGTAGAGTCATAAAGGACCATACAATATAGACAAACCATTAAACAATGACCTTAGTGGGCCATAAAAAATCACCAAACCAGAACTGTCACTAAATAAATTCTAGTTCTGGCTCAATCTCCAACTCCAAATACCCCCTTAAAAATATATATAGCTTATACTTTAATTCGCAGAGAAAATTTTTATGAAAAATTAAAAATCTTTCCTTTTCTTCCTTTTTTCCTTCTATTAGTGATTCATCTCTAATTTACGAGACACGTATATAGGAGTCTGATATTGAACATATTTGCTACTTGTGCTGAGAGAGGGAGCAGGCCCATCTAAACCAAAAACAGTTTAAGTATTCACAAAAGTCTTGACCAATAAGTACAGCTTTCCAAAGACACTTGTCCCAAGAAATATAACTTAAACGCTCTATGGTTCAAACTTCTGACAACCATAACAACAAACAATCCAAATCCGTGCAGGACAGAGTAAATACAGTAAAGAACAAATTTTTAATTTTATTAAACTAATAAAGAAAACTCTGAATGAGATAAATATAGATATAGATATTGGAATGTCTCTTATCTTAGTAATGACTTTCATGTGATTTGGTATCAATTAATCACGTGATTCGGAATCAATTAATATGATCTACGTAAAACAGAAATAGCTATATTTAGGGAATTCCAAATGAGATATGAATATGCTGTACAAAAAAGGGTATTTGACAAATTGGACCTCAAAATTTCATATGAAACTGAAATCGATTTGTAGATCTCCATAATTTCAACAAGGAAGATCACTATGAAAGCCTGAGAACAACCTTGTCATCATATTATTGCCACGGAAACAAAGGAAACCCATATGAAAATCCTCCAAATCCGCTGAGTATAATTTTTTTTCAAAAGATGTTTGGTGCTTCATCTTTCATCTCTACGTGTCAACGACATGCAAAGCCATACAAAAAAAGTAATATCCCAACAGATTCTAACCAGAAATGTAACTAGGAACCGACAACCAAAACTGTACTATTGATTAAATTTCTAAATACAGTAAAGTCCTCTCCATTACCAATAGCTCTTTAAATATACATGCAAATACGCAAAAGAACCAATTTTTCAACAAAGGTAAGAACCACAAATGCTAGAACTTCAATAGAAAATCTATGTTTACTTTGATACCGTCATATGTATGCATCTTCATCGAATGAAAACGGCTTGCAGTCTTTAAAGTTCATAACAAGTCGAGAACAATTCACGTGTAATATGACTCGGGAAAATACAGATAAGCTCTTTTCATTTAACCGTCATTAAAACTGCGTAAAAGCTGACTTTTTTCTTATATCTATCTTTAAATTTCTTTCCAATACTTTGTTCAACAAGAACAGAAGAAATTCAACAAAAATCAAGTAAATAAAGCAAAATATAAATTATGCCCAATTCATATATGAACTCATATGACCTAATTAAATCATTAAATAAAAAAAAAGAACCAATAAACAAATAATATTCAAAGATCATATCAAACAGTTAAGACCCAAGACCATAGCCGATAAAAAGAAAAGGAATAAAAACATAAATAATAACTGATCGTACCCATAAAAAGATTGAAAAATCGAACCCAAAAGTCACTCATGAAATCCAAAAATAAAAACAATTACATACCCAAGTTCACATACAATCATACACGTGCATATATACATGCATATATACACACGTATAAGAGAGCAAAAGAGAAGAAAAAGTTTATACCTTTCTTTCTCAACTTCTCTCTGTTCCTTTCTAAAGCAAAAACCCAGATTGAAAACCCTGAAAACAAAGCAAAAAAAGAGAAAATTTCAGTCAACTTCGTCCTGTTTTTGCTTTTGTTGTTTTGGGGAGATCTAACAGTAATTGGAAAAGATATTTTTTTTTTTTTTCCCTTGTGGGATATTTTTAGCAAACAGTGAAAGATCTGATTTTGAATAACACATAACCCTTTTAGGGTTTGGAAAGAATCAAGGGATTTTTTTTTTTTTTTTTGGGGACTATGGATTTTCGTAATGATTAATGATGTGTTGTGTGTTGTGTTTCATAGGAACGAACCTGAGTTTGGAAACAACAAAAGCTGAGTGTGTGTTGTGTCTTTGATTCTGACTTGTTATGTCAGGGGGGGTTTACCTTTTACGTTGTGTGCTTTTATCTTTTTTTATTATTTTTTTTTTTTGTCTTCTCTTTGGATAATTACTGCAAACCCCTATGGCTTTAATATTTTACATTACGTTGATACCCCAATTCACATCGGAGGCTGAGTTAGTTGTCTAGATAGTCCGCAAGAGTCCAATTTATAACAAAAGTAGTACAAAAAGTAGGTTTATATTCTCATTTATTATGCAAGCTCCCCAAACTAATTGACGAGCGAGTTAAAGTTGTCATATAGGCTCCTTAAAACAACTAATAATTTGTCCAATCGACCAAAGATAATCAAACGCTGAGTCAAGTAGTTATGTGGCTCCTAAAACCTACCAAGAGATGATTGAATTGACTAAAAATATTGAGAGTGATAAGGGCATATATTGTGATTCTATGTGAGAGAATGTTACAATCTTGTATCAAATAAAAATGAGTTACAACCTAAACACGATTACCTAATTAACTAATATTTTAGATAGTTGACAAACGTTGTCTGATGACGGTATCTGCCCTTCATCATTAGTTGTAATTCTTTTGTTTTTGAAATACTAGGGAAATATTAGCCAAATGATAGAATGGGGGTTTTTGTATTATTTTAAAACTCTAGTCATGGAAATGTGACAAACTTCAGGGAGTCTAATGAAATTAACCTTCATTTTTTTTTGCTGTTTTGTTTGACGAACTTACCCTTTGTCTGTTGATTGAGGAATTATATTTTTCAGTTTCTCCATTGTATTTGGAAGTTCTTTTTCAAAAATGTTTTCAAAAAGTAAAAAGTACTTTTTACATCAATTCTCCCCATACAAATACAATTTTATAAAAAAGAAATTTTAAGATAACAGAAAAATCTAGAAACGGATGCTCTTTTATAAAGTGGTCTAAGAACTTTTACAAAAAAGAAAACAATTCCTTAATCCTCAAGTTGTTCTGGCAAAAACTAGTATACGTATATAAAAGAATATACAAATATTTTTCCTATTACAATTTAGAAAATTCTACCTCCAATCATTTTTTTAGAGGAAAAAAAATATAAGAACACTATTTATCCAAGGAATAAGCTTTTCCTATATTCAATCTGCGGATTAAAAGTTTTGCAATCATGGCTTCTTTCAACTCTTGACAACAATGCTTGCTTGCATATCATATCATTGATCTTTGCTGCATTCTCTTTTTCGGATAAGAAATTGCATATTCTTGCTCCATTTTCATTTTTCCCATAAGATCTTGCATATCCTGGCAACCGTATAGTTCTGCTTTGCATGGCATGACTGAATATACTGTCATTTTTGTGGGTTATACTAATCACCCTGAAAACTTGGCGATGATTAAGCTGACTGCTGTAAAAACGACATAAAGTCCAACCAGGCAAAACCCCCAAAACCTAGGTACCCGGAATCTAGACCACGTTATGACTAATAGAGATCCCATCAGACTCAAGAGCAAGAACACAAAAGCAGTAACAATACCGATGTGGAAATGCAGCTGATAAGCTTCTGGATGAACATTGGCCGTTTGCATTACCAAAGCTGATCCAAGTCCTATAAGCATGTTAAACATTGGCCCTGCAAAGCACCCAGCCATTGCCATTGTTGGATGCCCGGTTTTGGCAACTGCAACATCGGCAACAAGATCTCCCACAGAGTTTCCCCAGGCAAGCACTGTGAGGCCAAGGATAGCTGGAGGCAATTCAAGGATTATCCCAAGTGCAGCCAGACAGTTAAGCAGCTCCCCAGCAACAATGGATATCCAAAATACACTCATTACAAATGCTATGACCACCACAGGCAATTGCTCAGTCTTTGGGGGTTCTGTTTCCACTATGAAATGAAGAAGTGCAAGTGAGGTGCTTGCTAAGAGTACTACAAACCAGAGAGGGAAATGGATGTTTGGAAGGAGGAAAGCTATAGGATGATCTATTGGCATGAAGGAGTTGCAAGCATACAAAAGCAATAAAGGGCAAAGAGCAATATTTGCAGATGAGTAAAACCGGTTCCATTCAGAAGGATCAGTTTCTGGAATTGTGAGCTTCAGAAGAAAAGTGATTGGAAGCTCCCATGCTTTTGATACCTGTATGCATGTCAAAAACTATAATAAGCATTCATCGCCAGAAGAAAGCAACTTTAGTTCATTCTTACACAAAACTAATGCTTCTTATATTAGCTGAACTCTTATTCGTAATTTCCAAAGATTAACATCATTCTGAATTCATCCTCCTTGCAAAACCACGTGGCTAACTAAATTGGACAGTCTAATGAATTTGTTCACTTTACATCAGTTCTTGTACCACTCCAAGACTAAAATCCATTCATAAGAGTAAAGCTAGCATAGAAAATGGTCCTCATTGAAAAAGATAGCAAACTCTATTGAAAAATATTCATTCAGAGAGATCTTGAAAATACTGATGGTTTGAACAAAATAAAAAGGCAGATACATTTGATCAAAAGAGACAGAAAGAGAGAACTGATAGGTTAATCAGTTTAATGCTTTTTTCTCAAGGAGCAACTTCTCAAATTTAGCTTCACAAAAACACCTCATAAAGCAAAAGGAACTGAACTACAACAGCCTAATTAAAATTTATAGAATTTTGATTAATTAGGTTGCTCAAATTTTATTCCCAAGATATGTATCAGGTGTGCATACTTAACATATGCTAACATTGATGAGCTAAAAAAGTCACTAACTCCAGCATTTTCCTTAGTTTAGCCAAATTATCTTAGCCAGTGGCATTTGCAACCAGAAGGAATCAAAATAGCAACAATAACATAACAATGGCAAGTGCACTTCAGGCAACTAACCACTCCAGATATGACAAGATGGGATGTTGAGGCTTCCTCGTAACAAAAAGAAGCTTATTGACCTATTAAATTAAGGAACCTGGACAAACAAACCAATTAGGCAAAACCCAAGATCCAAGCTGTGTCATATCTATGCTCTCAAACAACTTGCTTTCAACTTAATTAACTCCTAAATCACCAGTTAATAGGAAATTGTCACCACCCAAACTAACTTTTATCCAGTTTACCAGTCATAGCTCCCATCAGGAAAACTACTAGAGATTAACACAAGAGAGCATAAAAAATCATATTCCAAAGGCAAGTAGCATGACTGTCTAACATAGTTTAAGAATTATGACTAGCTCCTTAGCTAATAACACTTTCACAGAACCTTCCCCATAGGGATCTCCCTCCCACCTCTTATCTAAATAGTCTCTTAAACATTAATCAAGTAATAAAGATTTCAAACATTAAACAACCAAACTGAGCAAGACATCCACATTTCATCAAACAACAATTTACAATTACATTTTACCCTTCTAACCAATAACCATATATTCAAAAAACACACACACACACAGAAACCAGCATGAATTTGGCCACCAAACAATAACACTCAGATTTGGCTCTCCAACATATATTCCACTAATCCTGAATATCACTAACTACAACAAAAACAAAAAACAGAAAAAATAATCCAAGCCTCAAATAAAACACACCATTCCATAAACTTGATTAAAGCATAAACTTTTATCACCAAGTAGTAACACTCAGACTCCAAGTCTCCAACAAAACACACCATTCCTTAAATTTGATCAAAACCATAAAAACTTGGCCATCAAACAATAATACTCAGATTTTGCTTCCCACAGTTCACAAATCAGACACCATAAACCACATTACACTAACTCTGTATATCACTAACTTCAATAAAAACATACCAATCCGTAAACTTGATCAAAACCATAAACTTTGATCACCAAATTATAACACTAAGAATTAGCACTCCATAGTTACTTCAAAAATCAACACCATATACCATATTACACTTGCATTGCATATTACTAATGAAAACAAGTATCAGACAAAGCATACCTTATTATAAACTTGAGCAAATCCAAACCCTTCATTTATCTTTATCTCCTCTAAATCTTTAACTTCTCCTCCAATCTCGCAATCCAGCCCCCTAATACTCATTTCTTTATCAACTTTTTTCTCACCTCTATTCATTCCCAAATCCATCCAAAACACAATCCCAACAAAGAACACATAAAACATAACAAACCCAACAGCTTGCCACACAAATATCTCCCCACTCAAGTACACATAAAACAAAAACAAAGCAGCCACCAAATAAAACCCCACATCCCTCACAAAACACCCAGCATCAACAGTAAAAGGAGCCGCATAAATCGCCACAAACCCGACAACAAAAGCCGAAACAAACGCCCCCGCCGACAAAATCGCCCCGAACCCAGTTCGGTACTGACCGTTACGAAGCGCAACGACGGACGAAAAAATATCCGGAGACCCATTACCCAACGCTAAAAGCGTGACAGCAGCCATACTTGGGGAGAGATTCAAGAGTGTCGAAAGCTGAGTGGTAACTAGAGAGAAGTGGGATTGGGCCGTTTTGATGAGAATGTAGAAGAAAAGAAGGGCGAGGAGGGAGAGAGAGGGAATAGAGAGAAAAGGGTTTTGATTGAAATGGCAAGAGTGAAAATAAAAGTAGTCGAACAGGCCATCTGAGTGGTGGTTTTGGGTGGGGAAACTAGTCGAACAGTTGCTGGCCAAGAGTGATCTGCGAGGAAGCTGCGACGAACGAGGAGAGAAGAGGAAAAAGAGGAGAATGGAGAAGAGGGTTAAGATTAGAGAAGTGGTTTTGAGAAAGGATGTGAAGGAAATGGCCATGGCCGTGACCATGCCATGGAAAGATGGAAGTGTGCGAGAAGTTTTACGTTTAATTGGCGATGGGATCTTGATTTTGTTGTCTGTTTTCGGTTGGGTTTGGTTTCTATTTCAGATCTCTGGTGCTATTATGAAGAAACTGAGTTCAGCTTTCAGTGTTGTGCAGTTGTTTGCATACTGTTTTGCCTTGTTTTGATTAAGATTTTCTTCAAACTTCACGCGTTTTGCCAGCCGACCTGAAGCTAAATATATGTATTAGAACAAAACAATAAATTTATTTTTTATTTTTTATTTTCACTGTAATTTCGGAATCATTTCCTATCATGGATAAGAAATAGAATCAATTCCTAACGATAAAATAAGAGATCTGACTTGTCCTCAAAATCCCTAGTTTATAATAGGTAGATCAGATAAGTCACAAACATAGTAAAGTGAGACTCGATCACAAGATCTATCATAATCTTTTATGCATTTAATATTTAGATTTTAACAAAATATAAAAGGAATGATAAGAGATTTATGCATTTAATATTTAGATTTTAACAAAATATAAAATTGAGATTAATGATTAATGATTAAGATACAAAATTATAATTTAAAAAAAAAAAAAACAAATCTTATTGATACATACAAGAATCATAAGATTTGTAAAACTCGAGAGAGCTTACATCAAGAAAGGATCCTGATTTCTCGTGTTGAAGAGATTAGAGAACACCTTAGCAGTAACATTAGGACTAATATGCATCATTCATGAACAAAATGCACCAACATTGAACCGAGATATGAAACAATTACATTTTCAGAAGTTTTAGAGTGCAACAAAATTATATACTACACACCTACAAAGCTAAGGCCAAGGCTAAGCTACCTGCGGAGCTTTCTTATTAACCACTTCCTCCGCTGATTGACATCCATTTGAACAAACATCTTGGCTTTTTTCTCATCTTCTAAAAGTTGACACGCTTCGAGGAAGGTCTCATCATCCATGCCTGGAACGGCTTGAAGCGCATCAACAACGCTTTTGATTGAGCTACATTCTCCGATGATCTCTTTGTTACCTGCCCATGTCTTGACCAAACTGGGCATCTCATCCGGAGTTTCTTGTATCTCCTTCATGGGTTTCTTAATTTTTCTTGGACAAGCCCGTGTTGATGAACTTGCAGATTTCCGCTTTTTCTTCCACTCTGATATGTCAAACTCTGCAGCTGGAGTACATAAATCTCTAAAGATATTATCGTCATTCTCAATTTTTACACCCGCACTGCTTAATCTTCTATCGGAACTTTTGTTTCCATAAATCATATGCAAATCATTATAATTACTTAAGTTTCTCTCTTCGTATGTGACAGCATCTGGATGCTCCTGCAAATCATTATAGTATTAATGCTAGTCAGGATCAATGGTAAACAATATTAAGAATATAATAGAACAATCTTTCCTAATTCCTTATCTGATATCTACTCAAAAATGGTGTTTGAAATTCCACTATGCCATGCTGTGGTTACCACGACCAATAACCAGAAAATATAAAAGACCAGTCTTACTGCTGTGGTTCGAGAAAGAAATGCACCTTTATATGAGCTTCCCAAACATCATCATCAGAAATCATTGTTTGCTGAATGTCATCCCACATAAAGCAATTCGGACTGAGAAGGTTTGAGATGCTGTTACATTCATTCATCAAGCTAAAATACCGTTCTTCCAATACTTCTCTGTCACATATAAAGCCAAATTGTTCATTGAATGATGCAACTATCCAGGCCCAAGCTTGATCACTAAATCTGTGACCAATCTTATTCCCTCTATGCACCTGCTCCAACATAAGGTCTATAAAGCATCTGTCCATCGTCTTTGTCCAATGTATTCTTGGAGAACTACTATTATCAGGGTATTGATCATCCTCTTCGCCTACAAATTCAACACAACTGTTAATCCAACAAATGCATTCTCAGAGCCAATGACAAGGAGAAAAATGTAACCATTCCACACTGCGTAACATAGCATTTAACAAAATCTACATCTCTGTGACATGTGATGTAAAACTGCTCTATTGTGTTTATACTGTACTTCCAGATTGACATTTTTCTTTTCAGTGAAGAGACATAAGATTTTCAGATAATAGAGCTAGCTTACTGACCCAAATAACCCTACAACACTATGCCAAAATGAACAAAAGAAATCAAAGATATTAGTGGATGCACACTGTTAATATGGCCTGGGGTTTTCGTATAGATTGATTCCCATCTTGTACAACTGTGTCTTAAAAAGAGTGTTGTGGACATCTGGTCCACTGCTATAACTCATTTTTATCATCAAAACATTTATTTTGTTTCCTATCTAAATAAGAGACTTGTCATCAATCAGCACACACCAACTCACCAAGGGATTGCATTAGCTCAACTTTTTTCTTATTTATTTCACTTATCAAATAATGTCCTAGTCCATTTTCAGGCTTGTAGTGCAAATCTTCACCAAGTACAAAGTCAATGCAACAATCTTGATCATGCATAACCCAGAGAAAGAGAGAGAAACAAACCAATTTTTACTCCTACAGCATAGTCAGTTTCCATAGACTGACTAAAATGGTTTTCCCCCATGTCTGTGTTGGCATTTCCATATATCAAGAACAAGTCATTGTAATTTGGGAGGGTTCTATTGCGGTATGGCTGTGCATCAGGGTAAACCTGCAGACACAATTTGTGAGCTACTTGGAGCTTAAAAAATTTTATTCACCAGAGAATAAAAAAGCACCTTCACATAAGCATCCCACAAATCACGATTGGCAACTATCATCTGTCGCATTTCATTCCAACAAAATCCACTCTGATCAAGTAAATTTTTCATGTCAATGAATCGCTTCCTCAAGTTAATATAACGACTCTTTAAAACATCTTTACTATATTGAGACCCGAATTCTGCCCTAAACTTTGCGACCATGTCAGCCCAGGCTTGTTTGCTGAATTTCTGATCAATCAGAGACCCCTGACGAACTTGCTGTAGCATTAGATCAATGAAATAACGGTCCATTGGAAGAGTCCAATCAGTCCTCGAGCAGTAGCCATTGTTTGATTTGGCTCCTTCAACAAATATGAAAAAGTTGATATATATTAAACAAAATTAATCTGTTTTATGCTATAAAAGATAATAGAAAATGACATCACAAAATGTCAAAGATGCCTGATAGGCTGATACAACATATTTTGTCAGAGTATACCAACAATTAGACATGTAGCAAACTCGCTCGATTTAATTATAGTCTTCTCACAAAATTTTCATCAAATGCTAATAAGCACCAAACAGTGAAAACTCACCATGACCATTACAGTCAAGATCTTGACTAAATCGGTTGGCCATTCCATTAGAAGTTGAATTCCCATAAATCAAGCACAAATCATAATAATTTGGTGTGGGTTTGGTTTTGTATGATTTTGCATCTGGGTGTTCCTACATGTGACGTATGTTAGTCCTTTGTAACAGAGAACATGTGTAAGGCTCCAATAAATGAGTAGAGTACCTTGATATATGCATCCCATACATCACCATATGCTGTGACCATCTGTCGTCTTTCATCCCAAGAAAACCCTCTGTGTTCAAGAAGATTTTTCATAGCATAATATTGCTTCTCTAAACTTTTATGATGAACCTTCAAAAGATCTTTGTCATACTTTAATCCAAATCTTTCAACAAATGAGACAGCCATATCTATCCATGCTTCATTCTTGAAAGTGTAACCAATCCTATTCCCACTCTGCACTTGCTCTAACATAAGGTCAATAAGATGACGGTCCATCAATGGTGTCCAATCTGTCCTTGAACAATCTCTATCTACATAGAATTGGAGGTCTTCTCCTACAATATAAGAACCTTGTAAATTATTACGACAGTAACTCAACTTTTAACAAATGATGATTCCAGACACACATCAATACAACATATGACCCTTGTTTTCTCCCTTACTGGGATAAAGAAGCTACTGCTTCCCTACTTAATAAATCAAGTTCTGTATCCTACTTCCCACAGATCCTTCACATGGTGAATATTCATTTGTGAATTACATTTGGGCTGGAAAATCTGAATTTGGAGAGCCAAAAAGAAACTATAGCCAATGCTTTCCACAAGACACAAAACAGACAACAGAATAGTATTGTATAATTCTTTCCTTTATATCATTAATATGCAGGCAACATACAAAAAAAAAGAGTTTTCGGCAACAAAACTCAAGAGTTGAAGACACCCAGAACTTTAAAAAGGAACAAGACTGAAAGATTAAAAACAATGTTCTAAAATAAAAATAAATAAATAAATGTTTATTTTATATATGTGAAAAATGGTCACATATACAAAATGTATAAGCCACATAATTTCCCAAATATTTGAAAAGCTTTGCTTTAACAAGTTTAAAAAAAAAAAAAAAAAAAACGAACCTAAGATCTAGTAAGGAATTCAAGAAGACAAACGGTCTAAATAAGATACAATATAACTAAACTAATCCTGGTAGCTAACACTACATAAAGCAGAATACACCATTGCCTCAGTTCAAGTTTATTCTAAAGACACTTCCACTCAACTTTTACCTGCCCATGTCACAACTTGAGATAATACTCGTTGGACCATCCACCACAGAATATCTTATCCTAATCTTCATGGCTGAAAAAAGAAACATACCAATCATCAAATCTGGGTCTGCGCTCCTTATATCTACACTGTCAGCCAAATGCCCGGACCTCCCATTGGAACTTTCTTGGCCATATATAACACATAGCTTGTGATAGCTTGGCACGGATTTATTTCTGTATAATTGAGCATCAGGATGTGCCTGCATAAACCAGGAGTAAGTGATAGAGTAACACATATCTAAGATACAAGAAAATAGGTCCATGTCAATTCACCTCAACATAAGAATCCCAAACATAATCTTCAGCTATTAACATTTCTTGCATATCATCCCAAAAAAAGCCATTCTGTTCTAGAAGAATCTTTATGTCGTTATACTGCCATCTTAAATGTTTGTGACGTTTCTTCAAAACATCTACATCATAATGAGATTTGAATTTATGATTAAACACAGTAACCATTTCCATCCAAGCCTCGCTTATGAATGAAAGACCAATCTTATTCCCTCTAAGAGCTTGGTCTAGCAACAGGTCAAGGAGATAACAATCCATTATTGGTGTCCAAACTGCTCCAAAACCATCACTTCCAGCAGATGAATAGCCTTCCTTCTCTTCACCTACATGCATGGTGAAGCCATGTGTCAGTGTACACTATAGTTCATCAGCATCAGGGTTTAAACTGTAGATTACACTAGAAGCACATCAATCATCATTTGTCATGAGGCTTATAAACATAATGTTATTAACTTTATTAAATAATTGAACACCACAATAGAATCTAAAAGCAAATGTTTTTCAAACTACAGTTCCCAGCTTGCTGATATTACAATGAACTTACCTGTCTTGACTTGAAAGACATAGTCCTTCAGATTTTTATCTTGGCAAATATGAACTGAAGGACCATTTTTGGTCCCGTATGCATATATCAACTCCAAATCTTGATAGTTCAGCAACGTCCTGTTTCTGTATGAACATGCATGGGGATATGCCTACATCCAGAACAGTGCTTCAGAATACTTGATAACTATAAACTAAAAAATCATGTGGAACAATCTTATACCTTGACATACTTATCCCAAAGACTATCATCAGCAACTATCATTTGTCGTTTTTCATCCCAAGAAAATCCTTTTTGATTAAGTAAAGTCCTTAGATCTGCATAATACTTGAATAATTTCTTATACCGGTACCTTAAAAACCTTTTGTGATATTGCGAACAAAATTTTGCATTGAACAAGATGAGCATCTCTTTCCATGCTTGTTTGGAGAATCCATGTTTTCTTGTACTGCCCTTTCTTACTTGATCCAACATAAGGTCAATAAAATATTGGTCCATTGCCAGTGTCCACTCTGCTTTTTTGGCAGGCTCACGACTTTCAGGGGCAATGCTACCTATTTCAAAACCTAAAATTCAGAAAATAATCATTTAAATTGTTTCATAACAATCTGTATTGAATTGTGCATAAAACATTAGTTACTAGAGAGTAAACATCATGTAAACTCATTCTTACTGAACTTAGTTTCCTGTTACTTTATGTTATAACATTAACGATGCATTGAATTATCAAGAGAAACAATAGATTTAGGTCCTCAAACAGACACAAAACTAACCAGTATGCACTACTTGAACATCATCATCTAAGTCTATATCATGACTTGAGCGGCTGTATCTTCCATCTGCTTGTGTATATCCATAAATATAGCACAAATTATCAAAGTATGTCAAAGCTCTATTTCTAAAGGCTTGCACATCAGGATTGGCCTGCATATGCATATAACAAGTTACTTTAGTGACAAAACAGAAAAACAAGGACGTAAATACTATGTACAATTAACCAACCTTGATATAAGCATCCCAAACATGTTCATCAGCTATCACCATTTTACGGGTATCATCCCAATAAAATCCATTCTGTTCGAGAAGATTCTTTACATCATTATATTGCTTCCACAAAATTGAATAATGACTTTTCAAGGTATCTCTATCATATCTAGTCCCGAATTTCGCATTCAGCAAAGTCATCATATCAGTCCAAGCTTGTTTGTTGAACGTATGGCCCAATCTATTCCCCCTGTGAAGTTGATCCAACATAAGATCAATAAAATAATGCTCCATAGCTGCTGTCCAAATTACCCTTGTGCGATCACTAATCATAGGGATTTGGCTTCCCATTCCTTCCCCTACAAAATTGGGATCATAGAGAACAGTCCAACAAATTGCTCAGCACATCAATGCAACAAATATCTAGCTATACAAAGTTTTAAAACAAAATGCATTTATCATACAGCACCTATTTGCACCCCTCCAGAAAATAACTATACATTTGAAGTTTTGAACTGAATTGCAAGTAACTTAGCAGAATACACAAATTCTTCGGAATTTATAGCTACAAACATTAATTACTTCATAACCTGTATTGTGTTCAAATTTAAATATATTTTACAGGTTGATATCCCTTGACTTAAGTTAAGCGAGACATAAGTTGTTAATCAGAAATTGAACAGTAACATTTAATGTTTGCAATTCAGTAATTTGTCAATCATTATATCAAGATACACGAAATATTAGGAAAATAACTGGAAGAAATTACTAAAGCGAAGCTCGAACTCTACCTTAAAACTTGCAAAGAAGAGAAATTATACAGCTTCGTTTGTCAATGTGGAAAGTAAAGGAAAAAAAATTAAAAAAAAAAAAGACTTTCGAATAATTCTCTTTAAGAAGAAAATTTCAGATGAAGAGAATCATCGAGAAATGTGAATTTCATTTCCTTTCCAACATTTTCTCGTAATCAAACAGAACTTTACGAGTGAACAATTAGGGATTCATACCTCCGAATTGCAAACGCGCGAAGGTGAAATGCTAAAGACGACGCCGCTTTTGTGGTTTTACGAGTCTCTACTCTGGGAAGTAGAGGGGAGCCAGCCAGCCAACAGCAACTAACGCTCTAAGGGTCCGTTTGGTTAGAAGGATTAACAAATGTCTATACAGGAATGGGATTATCTTATGTCGTTATTTTTCTTGATTCCACTTTTTTTTTTTCTGTTTTTTTTTTGGTTGAGAACAATATTCATGGGTTCAACGTATGAGTAATATTAAGCCCACAATTCAATCTTACAATCTTCTCTTACAATTCTAATGATCCGTTAAATTGGTAACTATCACATCAACTTCCATCACACTTAAAACACTAAATGACTTTAAATAAATACGAACGATCATTTCTTATAGTTCATTCATAAAGAATAGTTGTCCCTTATGAAGGAACAACTGACAACCATTTATTCATAAGAAATGGTTGTTCCTTATGAATGGAACAATCATTTTTTATGAATAAACGATCTTTTGTTTTTAAGGAAAGATTGTTCATCTCTAAAGAACGATCGTTCATGTTTAATCAAAATCATTAGTTGACATGGTAGTGTCAACTCTGCTATCACATTAAAGTTGTAAGAGAATATTGAAATATTCTATCACTTCTCTCATTATAATGAATGTACTTACTTATGATTTACTATCACCCTCATACAAGAGAATAATAAGTTTATATACTATGTTTAAACAGAAAAACCTAATATTACGAGGATGTCTTTTCCTGAGCCCAAATCCAATTAAGAATTAAATTGCTTAAACAAATCTTACAACAGCTCTTCATGAAATAGGCCTAAATCGCCTACGGGCTCGAGGCGAATAAAAGTGTACATATAAAAGTATTGGAGTTGTCGACCATTTCAACAATAAGGAGCGAGACAGACGCATTCGAGGGGTCTTGCAGTCGAGTAGCTAATAATATTCAGATTGATTATATCTTTGTTATATTTTTTTATTTGCTTCTTTGTTGAACAAATGGGCATATAGTATATAATATTAGACATGAATTATATTATATTGATGTAAAAATTTGATTGAACTTAATTTGTGACACTAATTTATAATCATCTATTGAAATAATCCACTGATTTGCAAGTTTTTGAGGTGATTAAAAAAAAAAAAAAAAAAACGTAATTTCATCTTCTATCTGAAGTTTACAGGATTGCAATGAATGTATGATCAATAAATGAAAATTTTAACTATCTATATAACCTTTGAAAAAGTAAAGCTAAATTACACTTTCTAACCTGTTTGATAATCTTCGAGAGCATCGATGTTGCATATTTCTGACATTAATCTCTTTAACATGTTGAGTGTTGACCATATGCATCACTTTGTTTTGAGGTTTTTTACTCTGTCCGTTTATATAAAGAGGAATACTACACTTATAATTTTTTTATAAACTAATTTAGACCAAGCAAAAGAAAACAATGTTTTACAACCTGGCCTAGCCCAGCCCGATTGGTTGAAACTGTTCAACCAGGACCCAAGGGTTTCATCGGGTCAAATTACCAATTTTTATATTCACTGGACAATGATTGATGAACAATTGAAAGTCAGGATGTTAAGGGTTTTGAAAAGGAAAGGTCGATGAGAGCAATGGTAGCTACGGAGGTGATTTTCAATTAGTGAATCGCCTGAAAATCACAAAACTAAATCACTGGCTAAGGGGAGTGTTTTCGTGGTGATGGGAAGTGTTGTCGTTGTCGGAAACAAACCCTATTTGCCCTGGTTTGTCAACGTCGGTGGTGGTGTTTAGGGTGTTTTTATAATATTTTAAACTATTGGACACCGATTTTATCCGTCAGTCAAACTAGTTAAACCGGTCAACCTAAGAGCTCGCCACTTTGCCCAATTTCACCTTGGGTTGGTTATTAAATCACTGAAGAAAAGTATGAACAATTCATAAATATTTTATTAATGGGAGCTCTCTCATAACTAGTACATGGCTATCAAACCAAACATAACTTTAACTAATTAAAAATGACTCCACTCTAATCAATTTACTACAATGCAGTTACTACCTGCAGTCACCATTTATTTAATTTTAACCTTCAAATTAAATTAATTATAATCTTGATTATCCTTGACCATCGTCACAATCTTGAGTACTGATTGATCATGGTAAGTTAAAGTTTAAAAATGGCCTCTTGCTCCCTTTTGAATATGACCAAGGAGAAGGAGCAGGTGCCATGCTTGGAGGTAATGCTTAAGGCAGCACTGTTATAACCAGTTTTTGCCCTCGATCACAGTGGTTGCCCACGCCACAAATGTACCATTTTTTCCCTGAAGTTGCTAAAACAATGGTATCATCTCCACTGGTTAATGGCGTCCCTTCCAGCGGCGCACTGCAGCTTTGGAAATCAGTTCCGTTCACTTTGTACACATTGTGTGCTCCAGCAGGATACTTGAAAACTGCATATATCAATCAAATCTCTCACATTAGGATAATGATCAAATAAACTAGACCTTACCATTAGTAAACAGATCGAGGATGGAGCTTACCAAGTCTGTCTCCTACATGAAACTCCTTGCCATTAGCCCAAGCTTGGTAATCAAACCCGACTGTCCACCCGGATTGATCTCCAACGATGAAGTCCTTTGCAGAAGAATATTATGAGAGCTCCCTGAGGTGTAATTAAATTACTGGAGTTTGATGTGTTCTGTGACTGCCCAAGTCCAAATATATATATATATATATATATATATATAGTGTTGCTAGCGTTTGGTTTTTGTGAACCAACGGCCAAGGGCGGCACAGCCATTAGCCGCCCATGGAGAATAGGACTGACATGTGTTATGCCCAAGAAAATAAAGGGCTGACGAGGGAAAGTCACGTGAAGGGTGACCTGCTCCCGTCAGAGCAGCACGCACACGTCAGACCTGCCAAGTGATATGGAGCCCACGCGCGTCCTTTTTTCTGCAACAAGTCGTGCGATGTCAGCTTGGGAAATGGGAAATGGGACGTAAAGCCGGATTACATCCTGACAATCACACCAAACCATAGATTTAGTGATGATTATACGCTTCAGTCCAGTATAAAATGAGGAGGACCCCTTCATTAAGGGGATTCGGCCATTTTCTCATACCAAGAGATCTCTCTCCTGTAATTATTATTTGACTTTTTCATCTTATGTAAGTCAGCTCGCAACAGCGACCTGACCCACACTAATATCAATACAAATCAGTGGACGTAGGACTTGCTACCTTAGCATCCGAACCACTTAAAAAACTCCCTTTACATTTATTTCGCTTTTTATATATTTCATTTTTGCGTGTATTGAACGACCAATCAACATTACACACGTGAGAATTCGTTGGTGCTTAAACCGAGCATCAACAACATGGATGAGTTATCTAGCTAGAGAACAGTTTATGTAGAACGATTGGAGATGATTACAACATGGTTTAGCTTCAAAACAAGATTTAACTTGTTCTGAGGTTCGGCCTTTTTTTCCCACATAGTTTTCTACTATCTTGCATGTTATATTATATGATTTTGGTTATGTTTTATAAAAGTAGAAAATTAGAAGATATATCAGATTAATGTAAGATTGTGGATGTGTATATAATGCTCAAAACTCCTATCGTTAACATAAATAAAATAAAATTTAGGGCAAATTTTAAGGATAATGTTATATACCAGATTAATTAGGGTAATACTATACTTACAACATAATCTCACAAATTTTCGCTCATATCCTCAATAATTAGTTTATGGTAAATTTTCTTGTCTGACCAATTGCAAACTAACCAATTGCAAGCTGTCACGTCAGAGTTGTAAGAGAGAGTTTGTGAAATTGGGTTGTGAGTCAATCTTTATTGGATTGATTACGTAAATACTACGTTTACAACTCAATCTTACAACCAACAGAGTTGGTACTATTACGTCAATTAACGACTTTGACTAAACATGAACCATCATTCTTTAGAGATGAATGGTCGTTTCTTAGAGACGAACGGTCATTCCTTTGTGAAAAATAACTATTTATTCATAAGGAATGATTGTTTCATTCATAAGGAATTGTTGTTCCATTCACAAGGAACAGTCATTCCTTATAAAAGAACGGTCGTTTGTCTCTTGTTAAAGTGATTTAGTGCCTTGGGTGTAGAAAGAGCTGACGTGATCGTTGTCAACTCAACTGTCACATGTTGACAATGATCACATTGGAGTTATAAGATAAGATTGTGAGATTGGGTTGTGTGCATAGTATTACTCTTAAATTAAGTACGTACATATAACAATTTATTAAGACCTCATCAACATGTTTCATACCATTCAGAAATATTAATTTACTTGTATTTTGTCTAGGTGCCGGATCAAGCTCAGATATAATTAATAAACTTGATGAAGAAAAGAAATTGAAAATGAAGATTTTGGCTTTTTCCGTTGAGCCAATTAAAGAAATGAAAACATCAAACTCCATTGATGAGTGCAAGGATCACATTCTCTGGTTGTAATAGCCTGCCCTTCCATTGTTCTTCTGCAAGCACTAATCTTCTTCCACCCAAGATTTTTCACAATTATATCATACAATTTTGTCATAGATTTTTAACAAATAAGTTACATTTGTATCTGATATTGATTTCTTTCATGATCAATGCATTTATATATCACCTTGTTTCATGTTAGCATTGAACGAATAGAGAGTAATACGAAATCAAAAATAGTAAACACGCACAAACCACAAACAGGAAAGAGAAAAAAGATATACGAGCGATTTAACTTGGTTCACCCAATTAACAGACTACATCCAATAGAGTCAATATTATTACAATATTACCTCATTTCTCTTGTCTAAATGAAAGTAATTTACCTTAAGATTTGATAAAGTGGTCGACAACTCCAACAAGCATGAAGTAATTTTGTTTTGAAACAAGTCTGAACTAGAAACAAAGGATTCACAAAAGTACTAGTACTGTACTTATATTACATGGGAAACTTAAGTACATACCAAATACAAGATTAAAACATAACAGTTAAGAGCATTAAGCTAATGATATTAAAAAGAGAAAAACCATCATTTTGATTATGGAGGTCGAATCCAAACCTGCTCCAAAATTGTCCTGCCCCAATTGCACTGGTACATCCGTGGGAGTTGCGATGGCGAGATATACTCATCTTCAAAATAACTTACTGTATTTGCCAATTCTTTGGTCTCCTCCTCCACTGGAACCATCATGGATGCATCCCCCAAGAACAGTGCTTTATTATCAAACCTCTCAATTGGACACCAGTTCATCTGTGACTGATCGAGCCTGAGAAAACGCCAAAAATCTTGAGAAAGATAAACCGAAAGTAAGAGTTTTCCATCAGACTCAGTTAAGAAATCACAATTGTATTCACCACATTGATCCTTTATCAAAGGATAAGAGTACGTTTTCCACTCCTTCTGCTCAATGTTGAATGCACCTATTGCTTCTGCAGGAAAAGAAGCATAAAACACTCCATCCATATACTCCACATCCGACACCATTAGATTAGAACAATCAAACCAGAACTCGGTCCACTTCCTGTCTCCAGGTCTACATATTCCTATACAATACTTATCAGTATATGACATCACCAAGAATATCATACAATCTGATGAAGCTGGAGCTGTGGAGAATGTTCCTTTAACGCAAGAGAACGATGACAACTGTCCGAGCTTATGAGAAAAATCTGGTAGGTCAATGAGTTCATCAGTAAAAGGACTATACAAGAACAGAGCAGTTAGCATCCTCCAATAGTTTTTACGAAGATCTTCTGTTGAATTAAAGAAAAGCCCCCAACCATGTTTTGTATCAAGAGGCCTTCCAGTTAAAAGAATTCCTCTTTCTCTTGCACTTAAAATGGTGTATATTCGTCTGGATAAAGGGTTGTAAAGGTAAAAGAGGCACCGATTAAAGGCCATAATCCACGGTATATCAACAGATTTAACATTGTCTGTGTTAACTTTTCGCCAGTTCTTGCATACCAACAGGAAATTCCTCTGATCCAAGTAATAGAGACGATTCATGATTAACCCAAGTATATCAACATGAAGAACAGCCCATGACCGCCTCTTGGTCTCTTTCCCCTTCCACCCGCTCATCATTGCAAGTTAATCTTCCCTTCCCTGAACCAAATTACGGGGAACTATACAAAGTTAGTCCAAAGACCCTCCCACTTAAAGACATACAAACTAAAAAGAATAAAACCCTAAGCAAAATGACTCACCAAAAACACAATTATTTCTTTATATAACCCCACGAAGAGCTGATTATATACATCTCCAAAGATATTTAGCCTTCTATACTTGTTGAAAAGCAAAAACATTCATAAGTAAAGAATAGCAAGAACTTGAAACAGTCTATGATAACTTTAAGACTATTTCATAAGCTGGCCCGGACAATCCAATGAGTAGAACACCAAGTATATATATGCCTCAAAACAACTGAAACTTTAACAACTCACACTTAACACAACGTATCAGAAAGAGTGAACAGAGCCTACATCTACCATTCACATTTCATGTATAATTTTAGTCAAATGAAAGTAATAATAAACGGTTTGAGCTTCAAAAAAAAAATGATAAAATTCGACAAAGAAATAAAGAAGTTGGATAATGTTACCCCTAGCCGGTGAGGGTTACAGCTCCGGTGCTGGTAACCGTAGGAGATAGTTTAAGGGAACTTCAGGTGATTGCTTGTTGAAGAGAGCTGTCAAGTGAAGCGTGAAGTGAAGCTAAATAGTGGCAAATCTTTGAGAGAATATGTATATTTCGTCCTTGTAGTTTCTCCTGCCTCATAAGGACATTTATTTTGAATTACTACATTTTAGTCCCCACACTTTAAAAACAGGTGTTAAAAGACAATAATTTCCTTAAAGCATATAATTTTTTTTTTTTTTTATAACCGAAGTATCCGGGCTAGTTTGCGTGCACCTTAACTAATCTTTGGGGTCCATTGAACACCCTACAAATCCAAAATACTAGGTAAGTTACAATATGATAAGTGACCATAAGGTTCGAACCCAGGAATTTAATGAAGAGAGCAAACCTCCTTGACAGCTAGCCAACCCCTTGGGTTGAAGTACATTGTCTTTTGACACCTACTTTGAATTTTTGCTAAGGGTATGGATTAAACTATAATATTTGAAAAGACTGTCCTTGGTTGGTAGGCAGGGGAAACCATGGGGACTAAAAATTATCCCGCGAATCTCCTGCCAAGATCAATAATGTACGCAAGAGATTTAGCTAATAAGTCGACAACTCGACGCGTGTTTTATCGTACTGTTGGAACGACATAATGTAGGTAAATGACGTCATTATCCTTACTTTTTTTTAAATTTAATAATAATACTACGCCAACCAACCATTTTCACTAACTTTCTCTCACAAACACGATGTATTAGCTCGTAATGAGTCTTGTTACCCAACAATAGGTTTCATCTGACTAATTGCGAACTGCTACGTTAAAGTTTAAGAAAAAAAATTATGAGAAGTGTTTGATAATCTATCTTTATTCTAAATTTAAATAAGAAAAATGTTACACCCACAACTTTTTTTTACAGACTTTCTCTTCCAACACAACGTGGTAGCTCACAATTATTTAGCTTGTAATGGTTATCATCTAGATCTCACCTGATAAATTACGATTAACTAATTATGAGTTGTCACCGTGCCACGTCGAGGTTGTAAAAAAAAGTTTATGAGAAGAGATTATGAGTGTAGTATTACTCTTTAAATAATAAAATTATAACTTTATTATCCTTTATGAGTAACACTATACTTATAATCCAATCTCATAAACTTTTACTCATAACTTTAATGTGATATTTTGTAATTGGTCAGCTTATAAATGGGTTTTACCTACACGTTAAAGGTTCTGTTTATCCGATTAGAAACTAACCAATTATAAATTGTTGTTGGGATTGTGTGAAAGAATTTGTATAATTATTATGTGAGCCAATTTTTATCCAATTAAATATCTATGAAAAAGTAAAAGTTAAGAACACGTGTCACTATAAGGTCCAAAGGAATGGTTAAGAACACGTGTCACTGTAAGGTCCAAAGGAATGGTTAAGAACACGTGCCACTATAAGGTCCAGCAAGGATCCAAAGGAATGGTTAAACGATGAAAGCAATTACTTTATATCTCCAAGTTTCTCACCACAAAAATTAAAAGATTAAAGAATAATATAAAAATAATTAATAAATCCTATTTGTCCGGGCTTTTTATATTAAGCACTCAGTTGGTTTTTAAAATGTGATATTTTACTTTTTTATAATAAGAATCCACTATTTAAAAAATACAACCCTAACCCATGTATGTTAGTCTTTTCTATAATTAGCACCCACTAGTTTCAGAAATGACATTAATTCATCATTCAAATTTCTTAACAATTTTATTAATTTAACCTAAACAAAATATACACAAACCTCTCAACATTATTGACATATATCGCATGTTAGATTAAGTGAATTTGGGTGAATAGAAAAAAATTAATTTCCTTCAAACTTAAGAAGTATGACCTAACGATCCGTCAACAATGAGGATTAGGGTCGTATTTCTAAAACCAAAACCAGCTGGTGGTCACTACAGAAAAGGCCAAACAAACAAGATTTATTTATATTTATATTTTTGTTGCTGGCTAGGTAAAATTGTGATGAAAAGCAATAATGCAGGAGTATTTTCGAATTAGGAATAAATTTATTTATTTTTTCTTATGACTTGACATATTAACTCCCTTTATTGATTTTTTTTTTTTTTTTTTTTTTTTTGTGGGGCTAGCTTGCGTACACCTCGATTAATCTCTCGGGACCCTGAAGTTAAAAATCGAGTATAACCTCCATGGTCATCCTGTTAGCAACCAAGTGACTTGAATTCAGGACTCTTGAATAATATACTCAATAGTCTTTCATTGATTTTGGTTCCTTTTACTTTTTTATTTATTTTAATTACTATAAGAATAAAGAAGATTCTTTTAGAAAGGGATATATTGTTATTCAGATTTTAAATTTTTATTTCATTTTCCTAATGTACATTTAAACTCAATAAATATATTCTTATGTATATATATTATTTTTCGGTGGGATTTTACTTCATAGTGAATTGTCAAATTACGTAATGCATGGTAAATTTTGCCTCTTGGTGTAACTCATTTACTGCTTTTATATCAAATTAAAACATATTTTCAATTATAAAAGTCACATTAATTAATATATTTAACTGGGCTCTAATTATATTGTAGATCAAAGTATCTAACACGACTCTATATACTCAATAGAATACTAGGAAAATAAGGTGATGAATCGGAAACAGGATTATCATTCTCTTTATTTAGTTTTCTAATTCAATACAACTCTTCCTATTAATTAATCCTTTTAAAAACAGATTCTTCGTAAATGCAATATATATTAATGTAGTTGAATATAATAACATTGAATTGTTCTTCTTCAATTACTCTCCTCCTTCACATCAATATGAGCCATGACAATGCCATCAAGTCATGGTCCGATCCTCCAGTTGATATACAAGAGACGTGAAGGAACATCTAATTCGATGATCAAACCGTTTTCGAGCTATATGCAAAAGTTAGCAATGGAATACTTATGCTATAAATCTGCAGATCAATTGCCTTGGATATTTGCTTACAAGTACAACAAGATGACAGTGGCTTTTGTATCTCTACAAACCTTCTAACCAAAAAAAGTATGAGATAAAAAGTTGTTACCATTTGGATCAAGGTTTCATGATTCAAAATATGGTTGGATTCTTATATCCAAACTAGAAGAGAATGTTTCTTTTCACCTTGCTTGTAATTTACTCTACTTCTATAATCCTTTTACTGATGAAACAATAAAACTCTCGGTTTGGAAGATCCTCACATTGAACAACATCCTCTATACATTGATAGTTCTCATGTAATATTCTCAGGCAATCCAACTTCCAACGGTGTGTGATATTTCTTCATGTTTCGAATGGTTGGGGATTGGTGAGGAAAATAATCTACACATGTAGGCCTAGAGATACAAATGGACTAGTCATTATGTTTAGAAGATTTTGAACGAGATACTCTTATTTGGCTTGTGTGGATGGTAGTCTATATTGTGCTACTATTAGTTGTGACGGTATATCTGAAGATAATAAATTTTCTTTTGTTCCTTTCAGATATGTATAAAGAGCGAAAATCGTTCTTGATCGTTGATGTTCTCTCTTTGCAATTCTCCCATGGAAAATGCTCTACCATTGTAGACTAATGAGTCAGATGGAATGTTTTTTAAATATAATATGAATATGATGAAAGTGCATTGTTTTTAGGGTTGATTTTTCAGGAAGAAAGTTGGTTGAAATTGAAAATTTGGAGAAGAAAATATTGTTTAGAGGTTTGGAAAAATGGATATTAGCTCGGCAATAGGGGTGTGCAAGAATTAGCCAATATCGTACATCGAATTGCTTCATGGAGTTTGACTCTTGTTTTTATAAGCACCAGAAACTCACTTGTGTCACAACCTTATGGCTGGATCAAGAAGCAGATATATCAGTTTATCAGGTATTTGGATTAATCACTCATACACATTCACTTTTACAAAGGTATCAGAAAATCACTCCTTGTCCACAGCTTTATGATCGGATCTATCAGAGTTCCAATAAGGATCAACTTCTCCACCAAGTCAATAATTTTATTTTATTTTTTTTATTTAAATTTTGATACTTTGAGAAGGTTGTATTTTGAAAAGGGATTATATGATATTCATTAAAACTTTAATAATATTCTTCATATATGTTTTCTGTGGGGATTTTATTTCTATGGTTGATTTTGATCCTTACGCTTGCAGGCAAAACTGCTAAAAAAAAGGGGCAAAAATTTCCTCGAGGAAAGAATCATAATCCCTGATTTTGCAATAGAGATTTAAAGTTGTTGATAGCAAAACAATGACAAGAAACGTTCTCTATTTCTAGTTTCCTAGTTAAGTTGATCCTTAATACCCCTTATGGAAATACTAAGTTACAGCAAGATCATACACTCAAAATATTCTCATCTGTATTCCTCTAGCAAGCAGTATCCAGACATAACTATTTTATCAGTTTTTTGGGAATTACCAATTACACGAAGTTTCATACCAACATCTCTAGAGGCGTAGTAAACCTTATGTATTTTTTTTTTAAATAATAAATCTTGTGCATTTAGCCTTTTTTATAATAAAAATCAACTATTTAAAAAATACGTCCCTAGTGTGTAGCCTTTTTTGAATTGACATTCGCTAGTTTCGAAAATGTCATTAATTCATCCTTTTAAGTTTATTACAAACTTCATTAATGTGACCTCCAAAGGTATACTAACCTTTCAACATTATTCATATATTTTGGATATTGGATTAATTGAAAAATCTACGAGTTGGAAAATATCAAACACACAAGGTAACCAATAAGTGCTTACTACGGAAAAGACCAAACACCCAGGATCAGGGGCATAATTGTGTAACCAACAGTGCTTACAGAAAAATGTCAAACACATTGGATTTCATAAATAACACTTGTAAAATACCTCAAATTCTTGTGCTGGACATGAGGGAAAAGCCCAAAAAAGAGAGCCCAAAGACTCAGAAGAAGGAGTCCAAAATAAAAAGCCCAAACCCGGTAACTCTATACCCTGTAGGTAAGTTTTCTATTTTCGGACCATTTATCAAATAGTCTTAAACTAAACAAAATTTAGTAATAATATA